GCCTTTCGATGGCCCAAGACCCCCCAACGACCGCCCCAAGATCGCCAAAGAGGCTTCCAAGATGGCCCCAGAACGGCCCAAGACGGCTCCAAGACCGCCCTAGGAGGGCCCCCAGACGGCCCAAGAGGCCTCCAAGACGTCCAAGATTGCCTCCAAGACGGCCCTGGAGCACCCCAAGAGGGCCTCCAGTCGGCCCAGGGAGGCCTCCAAGACAGCTTCGGATGGCGTCAGACGGGCCAACAGCCCACCAAGACGGCCCAAGATGGCTATAAGATGGCCCACGACGGCCCAAGAGGCCCCCAAGAGGCCTCCAAGACGGCCCAAGAGGCCCCCTCCAGGACGGCCCAAAAGGCATCCGAGAGGGCCTCCAGGAAGGCCCGAAAAGGCCAACATGATTGATTGTCATTGGGCTCGTGTCCTCCTCCTCCTCCTCCTCCTCCTCCTCCTCCTCCTCCTCCTCCTCCTCCTCCTCCCCCTCCTCCTTGTCCTCCTCCCCCTCCTCCTTGTGCTCCTCCTCCTCTTCCTTCTCCTCCTCCTCCTCCTCCTCCTCCTCTCCTCCTTCTGCTCCTCCTCCTCCTCCCCCTCCTCCTTCTCCTCCTCCTTCTCCTGATGTTCCCCGCCATCCTCCCCCAAATGTTCCCCGAAGGGTTTCCACAACGGTTGGGGGAACACATGGTCCGACAGCTTGGCAGAGCTCTTGCCACAACGCTCGGACACATGGGCGATTTCAAACCTCTTGCTACCCCACGCGTCCCCCGAAGGCTTTCCAAACCGACTCGGGGAACAACTGGCCCGATAGCTTGGCCAAGCTCTAGCCCAGCTGTCGGCCACATAGGCGTTTCCACAATGGCATGGGGCGGCGATTCCACTGCATACTCCTCCACATCCCTGATCAGGGCGACTCGCCTGGGCATCGTTTCTGGATGGGTTGGTGGGATTATGCGGATTGTCTAGAATTTGTCCACGATGCGGGCCCATGGAGTTATCGACATCATCACAAGGACCTGTTTCCCGTCGGTTGACGTGATGTGGATGGTTCTAGGTCCCGAGAACGGCCATGTCTTGATGTTCGTCGCTGCCCCGCGCACGGGCGCACGCGCGGGGGAGGACGGAAACAGGGAGGAAAGCCTCATCCACATGATTGATCCATTTCGCTGTGACACTTTCCTCATCCTCGTTTCTCGTTTTCCTGTACTCTGCTCTCTCCCCCTCCGTTTCCTCCTCCCTCGTCTCTCTCCTCCCACCTTTTCCCTCGCCCCGGGCCAGCAGGACGAATCGAAAGTGTTAAAGGGTCCGTTCACAAGCTGCCCGTGCAAGTCGGACACTGGACGGCCAGTGCGCGGCACGATGGGCCACGGGCCACGAACGCCCACATGCGGCCCACTGAGGAAGTGTCTTTGGGCTTTGGGGTCATATCTCGGGTGCCTGTTTTGTTGCTTCCGCCGTCTTCCGCTGGTCATCCGCTGGCGTCCGCCAAAGGACCCGCCCCTGCTTTGCTCCTGCTGGCCCTCCGCCACCTCCCGCCGAAGAGCTGGTCTTCTCGACCCCTCGAAGGCGGGGCCCTCTCTGGAGCCCCGTCTCCACTCGGCCGCCACATGGGCTCAGGATCGACGGCACGCTCGGCTGCCGAGCGGGCCAGCTGCTCACCGCCACGACGGAACCGATCCCGCTCGTCAACCGAACGGGCGCAGACGCCGAGCAAGCTCAACGAGAAGACCCCGCCCGAAGTCCGGGGCGCGCAAACATGGATGAGCGATCCATGGATTCGGCGCGCGGTCGCCAAATCCATGAATCGGGGGGGGGCCCTCCCCAAAACGCGGCCAGTGCCGCCTCGTTCGGCGGCGGAAATCTGCGCTTTCCCATGGAAGGGGGACCCGCCGCTGATCCACGCCCGCTTCATCCATGTGTGCGATCGCCTGACGAAGACCGCGATTGGCAAGCCAGCCAGCCCTGCAGAAGCCCGCCGCGCCTCGAGCCCGAGCCGGCGCCCGAAGCTCCAGGGGGGCCACGGGGCAGCCTGGGCGCCACGCCGAGGGGGCCGAGGGGGCGCCCCTCGGCCGCAGGAGGTGCCCGTGCGCGGGCCGCGGGGCGCGCGGGCACGCGCGCAGCCCCCACGCCCACCCCCCCCCACACACTCCCCGGATTCCAGCGTGGGTCTGCTGCTGTCTTGAGAGAGGGTCATGGGACAAGCGTGGAAGCACAGAGCTTGTGCCCATCCGTGCATGTGCGGTCTGCCACGGCGGGGCGGCACCACCGCGACGCCAGGGGGAGCGTCATGGACCATAGCCTGCGATGGGGGGGGGCCGGGGCGAGGGCGCTCCCCGCGCGCGCGCGGCGGACCACGAGCCGCAGGGGCCCTTAGCTGCACAAATGCGCAACGCGCAACACGTTGCGCAGTGACACGGAGCTCCACACGTGGACCGAAGCCCTGGGTCTCATGCGACGCGTTCGCCAAAACGTGGGCCAACAAGCTGAACCAACACGCAACGCATCCACACGCACGCCTTGCGCACGGCGCGTGCTGCGCATCAAAACGGGCGTGTGGAGGCAGCTAAGGCAGGAGCCCTCCTCCCCACCCCCCCCTCGAACTGCGAGCGGGGGCGGGGCGAAGGCGCTCCCCGCGCGCGCTCTCGCTCGCCGGGCCCGCCCCCTCTCCCCGCGGCCCTCCCTGCGCTCCGCCCCGCCGCGAGGCCCTCCCTGCGCGCGCCGCCTCGGCGCGCGCGCGCGACGTTGGGACATACACACACACATTCACACACACACACACACACACACGCACACACGCACACACACACACACACACACAGATAGACACACACACACACACAGATAGACACACACACACACACACAGATAGACACAAATGACAGGATTCCCCCTATACGTTCCCGTGCTTTCTGGGTGTTTGTCTTCCCCCCTCCCACTTCCCATGCCTTCCCATATTTTCCTGGGGGATCGACGATTCATTGTGCCTGTGTGTGTTTTGTTCCCTCCTGAGGCATGGCGACCCCCATACCATGCTTCGAATGGCCTCCGAGTGGATATAAACGAATTGGGGCCCAGCTCGGGGAGATACGCGACGGGGGGGGCGTCCATCCGAGGTGAGTCCGAAGAGCTCCCTGGGGGGGCTATCCACGAGTTGCCCTGATTGGACGAATGTTTCGGGCGGAACTCGGGGATTGGGGGCGAAACATCGTTGCAATTCGGAAGCTCATTGCTGCCGGACAATCAAGTTTGGACACGGCCATCCGCTGCCAAAGCATACCGAGTGATACCAGACACCCGCTTCCCGTTGCATTCTTCGCCTGGGACCAGCTTGGCAGCAAGAGGGGCCCCTGATCCAGATCGTTTCACAAGCCCCCTCTCATGGGACCTTGCCCGAAGGTCCGTTCGAGACCCCCCATGGGCGTCGAAACCACCCCATGACGCAATCCAACGGCGCCCGCTCCCAGCGAAGGATGGCAAATTCCTCCCCCTCACGCGATCCCCCCTCACGCTCATTGAACGACCTGACGTGAATGTGGTGGCCAAACGCTGTCCAGTCCGGTGATTTGGGGAAACACTTCGTTCACAGAGGTGGCCGTGAATCCGGGCAAAACTGCTGGCTGCTTCAAGAGACGGCCCCGCCTTGAACGGCAGCAGAGCGCGAACATCCTGCCCTGACAACGGCGAAGCGGAGCTGGAATGATGAGAGAGGCCCTGGTGAAGTCGTACACATAATCGACCGTCCTCCTCCCCCTCCCCAGACCTCCATCGACTGGATTTGTTCGAGTCGCCGGGGACTTGATGTCTCGACCCCTGTTCCCAGGACCGGCTCCTCATCCCGAGTCCTGTGCGGATGGCCCCAGGGGCCCAGAATGTGCAGATGATTCGGTCATATATTTTTCCCAGTCGCCAGGGGGGGGTGACCGCCGAACCAAGAAACCCACGCGGGGCGTTCGAAACTTTACGTGCTCGGTTCTGCAGTTTGCTGCTGCTCCTCCTCGGGGGGATGGGGAGGGAAATCGCTGGGATTGAACAACAAATCCTTCGAATAATGTGAGGGTCTTCCTCACGGCGAGCTCGGTCGGCACGAAAACCAAAAGTTCAGAGAGAAACGGACCCTGCAGACACGGGGCTCTCCCCAGGACGAGCTCCTCATCCCGAGTCGTTCTGTGGACGGCCCTGGGGCCCAGGGGCATTTGGAGTCCCGAAGCGGTGCGGTGACGGACCGTGCGGTGACCTCGAAATCCCCCCAGACCTCACCGCACGGTCCGTCACCGCACGGGTTTGGGACCCTGGAGGCCCCTGTTGCCCGAGACATCCTCGGAGAGGGACTCGAGTCCCGAAACCGTGCGGTGACCCCGAATCCCCACCGACTCACTGCACGGTGTGGTCACCGCTCCGTTTGGGGGCCCCCGAGGCTTTGACAACGGCGAAACGCATCCAGAAGCACCCTCGCTCAGGACCGGATGTCGATTCCTCAGGAGAGGTCAGCATCGAACCCATAAATCGGATTGGATCGGCATGTGCGACGGATCGGGCGTATTGGCACGGAGATGGAATCGAATCGGACCGGCCGCGCCAGGATGCACAAGAGCGCCACGGTGGCATCGGGCCGCGTGGGACCGTCGAAATGTCGACAGCGCGTCGGATCGAGCCAGCGAGAAACAATTGGCTCAACACGACGTCCCCAGCAGTCCCGACACTTTCCCCGCGGCTGGATTTTCCTCCTGGGATGCTCTATGACGGCCCTGGTGCCTGGCGAGGGCCCCCAGTCGCGGAAATCTACGAAACAGCTCCACCTTCATGTTGCCACTCCGTTCCCAAACCCCCGACGTCATGACTTTTTCATTACGTCGACCCCCAAGGTCTCGACCCATTCCCCGGGACCGGATTTTCATCCTGACTCGTGTTTTGACGGCCCCGAGGCCCGGGCGGGGCCCTTAAAGGCCGAAAATCATGAAAACCCCCCCGGCATGAGTTTTTTCACTACCCGAAGGGTTCTGGATTGAAGGTCTGGGGATCGGATCGAGCGGATCGACACGGGCGCCGGCGCAGTCGCCGCGCGAGCCCGGCCGCGCGCGCGCGCGCCGTGACGGAGGCCGCCCGGCGCCCCGCCGCCTCTCTTCGGCGTGAGGCGCGCTGGGCGGCGGCGGGGGCCCCGTCAGGCGGTGGCGTACGCGGTCGGGGGTTCGCCTGCTGGGCGCGCGCCGCGCTGCAAGGCAGGGCAGGGCACGGCCGGCCGCGCGCCGCGTTGCTGCTGCTGCTGCTGCTGCTGCTGCTGCTGCTGCTGCTGGTGCTGGTGCTTCTGCTGCAAGGCATGGCGAGCAGGGCAGGGCAGGGCAGGGAAAGGCAGGGCCGGCCGCGCGCCGCGCTGCTGCTACTGTTGCTGCTGCTGCTGCTGCTGCTGCTGCTGCTGCTGCTGCTGCCGCTGCTGTTACTGCTGCTGCTGCATCTCGCACGTTTCGGCGGAAGCTTTTGCCCAGAGCGCTTGCGGCGCCCAAGGCTCCCGGATTTCCTTGGGCTTGTGGGTCGCTAGTGGTATGTGGGCAGAGCGGCACTTCAAATGCAACTGGCTGGGGAAAAACAGCGCGCGTTCACACGGAGATGGAGATGGAGATGGAGGAGGAGGAGGAGGAGGAGGAGGAGGAGGAGGAGGAGGAGGAGGAGGAGGGAGGAGGAGGAGGAGGGGGAGGAGGAGGAGGAGGAGGAGGAGGCGGAGGCGGAGGAGGAGGAGGAGGAGGAGGAGGAGGAGGAGGAGGACAACGAGGAGGACGGGGTGGAGGAGGAGGAAGAGGAGGAGGAAGACGAGGAGGAGGAGGAGGAGGAGGAGGAGGAGGAGGAGGAGGAGGAGGAGGAGGAGGAGAGGAGAGGAGGAAGACGAGGAAGAGGAGAGGAGGAGGAGGAGGAGGACGAGGAAAAACACCTGCGGGATCCAATGTCGACAATCTCTGGCCGATCGATGGACCAATGAGGAGGAGGAGGAAGAGGAGGAGGAGAAAAAGGAGGAGGAGGAGGCGGAGGAGGAGCAAGAGGAAGAGGAAGAGGAGGAGGGGAAGGACGGGGATCTAATGTCCACAGTCGCCGACCGACCGACCGAGGATGAGGAGAAGAAGGATGAGGAGGAGGAGGAGGGGGGCTAGGAGGAGAAGGAGGTGGAGCTGTTATAAAACACGCAGCGGACGCGCCACGTCCCATCATCCATAATCCTTGTCATGGGCGCGCCGCCAGTCGGGCGCGCGCCCGCTTGGAGCAGGAGGAGGAGGAGAAGGTGGCAGCAACAGGAGGACAGGAGAGAAAAAGGAGGAGAGAGAGAGAGAGAGAAACGGAGAGAGAAAACAAAAAGGCACTGGCCGCTGATCCCTGGCAGCGCGGTCGGCCCCGCCACCCGCGAGGGCGCCGAGGTGCCTCGCGCGCGGGGGCATCGACGCAGCCGCGCCGCCAGCGGAAGTGGCGGGGGGCCACGACCGAAGGCGCATTCGACACAAAGGGGAAGACAGAGCCCATGCCCCGCAAGGAGTGGCGCTTGCGCTCGCCACCCCGGCCTGCGTCTGGGATGGGTGGTCCACGGAAGGGGCCCTGCTGCAATGCCGACCCTGCCCCTTCAGAGAGGCATGCAGGGCACCTCGTCGACGAGAGCGGGGTATGCGCGGTGGCCGGGGTAGGGGGTGGAAGCGGCCGCGCTCTCTCGCGCGCGCGCGTCTCCGCTCGCCCCCTGACCATTTCACCCGCGACCAGAAGGGCCCGACCCAACGCCGCGCCGCGGCAGGCAGCGGCAGCGGCGCTGCGGAGCAGCGGCAGGGGTCGCGCGGGAGAGGGCGCGCAGCAGCAGCAACAGCGACGACAGCAACAGCAACAGGGGTGGCAACGCAGGGGACGCAAGGGCGAAAACAAAAACGAGGCCCCCGACAGCGCGCCGCCCCGCAGGCGAAGGAGGCAGCGACAGGGGCAAGGAAGTAATGCGATGAGCAGGACCCACAGAACCACGAAGCAGTACTTCGCCGAGCTCAACGCGCCCAGGGGCCAACTCATAATAGGAACACGCAGCGACACTGAAACAAAAACAGGGCGCGGCCTGCTCGGCCCACAGGGGCAGCGAGCAGAGGCACTGACGCAAGGACCCGCGGACGAGGCAAAGCGCAAGACCCAAGACACGGCGAACGTGCCAACGCGAGGCGCGAAGGAAACGCGCGCCGCCGACGGCCGGGGGGCGCGATGCAACCCCGCGGAGCACCTGGGGATGGCGGGCAGACGGAGCGGCCCTCGCAACCATCACTCTCCAGGAGCCCGCAGTGGCCGCAGCCTGTTTGGCGCGCCACCTCCATGGCGAGAGGGGGGCCAGCGTTCCCAGACAACAGCCGAACCCGAAGAAAGGTGCGTGGCGGGATCGGCCGAATTCGAGAAGGGCATTATAAAAGAACGGCGCCGGCAGCGACGTTGCGATCCAGCCGCCGCGCGGGCCTCAGAAGAGCGAGAGCAGAGAACCAAGACCCGTCGTCAAACGGATGCCCCCTCCACTGCCCTGGCAGGTTCTTAACGCCCGGGATCCAAGAGAGGGCTAAAGACTTCAGCGCGGGGCAGCGTCTGCAGCGGAGAAGGTCGCCGAGCCTCCGCAGCGGAAACAGCGCCCTCTGTCCGAGCAATGAAACCTAGCCGAGGCGCGCGCCCCCCGAGATAGAACTCTGAGAACGCCGGTGGGGAGGAAGGTACAGGCAGCCTTGTCGGCAGCCCTTAGCCGTGACCGAAGGCGAAATATGACGGGCATCAACTTCCATGAGCCATCGTCCGGCACGAACGAGCAAGTGGATCAAGGGGACCATCGGTGCTCGATGCCCCCGAAGATATTTGCGCGCCCCGCGCTGGGTCCCCCCGCCCGCCCACTTAACGCTGGCACGGAGAATGTCGGCCGCGCCCTCATTGGCCCATCTGATCATCGAGTTTCTGCACCGGGGAGAAAGCTGCCGACCGAGACAGATCTCATCATGCGCACTATTCACAAGCAACTCTAGGTCATGCAAATTCAGAACGATCGCCTTGCACTTGACCAATGCGCGATATTTAATCGCCCGGGCCACGAAACTGAATAAGCGTTCGCTGGTTTAGCACGCGCCTGGGACCCGCCGCTGAGATATGCGCGCCCCCCCCCCCCCCGCCCGCGTTGACAAGCCGCCCCCGGCGTGATGCGCGCCAGTTGAAGCCGACGCGGTAGAACCTGGACGCAGCTCGAACGACGCGGCCGAATCGCAGCGGGTAGTCTCAAAGAGACCAAGGATGCCGTGCCCTCTGCCAAAACGCAATCATGACTTCCCGCTGCGCCGCCGCGTGGACCCGCGGCCCCGCCCATTTGCAAGGTATAGCGCGTGGGTCTCGAATTTTATCGCGCGGGGTCGACTCCCCTCCGCCTCGCGCGCTGAGAGAGACGCGCGCAAGACAGCGCCCCGCAGACAAGCGCGCAGCATTGGCCGACATTCAGCGAGAGACAGGCGGCGGGCGAGAGCAGGTCCAACAGATGAAGCGCAGGCATCAGATCGACAAGGGTCCACTGCAGACCGGAGCAGCAATCGTCGGCGCGCGCTTTCCAGGCCCAGCCTGGGCGCGTGCTGGCACCAGGCCCATCTCGAAACCATTGGCGGCTTGGAAATGGGCGCCAACGCTAATGCGGGGGAGTGCCTCCGCCCGGGGGGGATGGTCCCAGACTTCGGCGTTGGTGGCTATCTCTGGGCCACTTAGGAAACCCGAATATTGCGGCCATCGCCGCGATCGGGATCGCCATCCCTCGGTGGCAGCACGCGGCCGACACTGGCGTTGGCATCGACCTCCAGGCCTGCGAAACCATGCCCAAAGCCAGCGAGGAGAGAGCCATCGACGATGGACCCCCCTGCCTTGCTCCACGCATGACAGGGGGCCTAATCTCAGCAGCCCCCCGCGAAAATGACCGCCGCAAGGTTACTCCTATGCCAACGCATCAAACCTCAAACCCAATGGTGGCCTGTGGGGCGCCCGCGGCTCTGAGAACCAGGAACATCCACGCTGTGCGTTTCCGCATGAACGCCCGAAAATCCACTGCTGAGACGCCGGCTCCATCACGCCCGCGCGCGAGCTGGAAAACAACAAACAAACGTCCCCACCTCCACCGCGCGATTCTAAATGTCGTGGCCTCTGGCACCCCCTTGCTGCATGCAGCTTCGTGACCGTCTGCGGCGCTATTTCATTCGGCCCGATCCAAGACGCGCCCAAAATAATCTCGGCGCCCGCGTCGAAGAGAGGGGCGGGGCGGGTCGAGCCGGGCAGCCCCGAGACAGCGGCGCCCTGATCGGCGGGCTCCATCCCCTTCCGCAGGAATGCCATGCTGCTGATCCTACAGCCCCCAGAAGGTGCAACGCCTTCGCCATCGTTAACCGCATCGTAAACATCAAGCACAACACCAGCGGCCCCCCGAGCCGCCCAACGTCCACGCGGCGCCCCGTCGGGCCCAAGGGCGGAGCGCCGTTTGAAACGAATGCGCTCGCCAAGCTCGCCCTGGTCTGGGCGCCAAAAAGGCTTCGCGGAGGAGTTGCCCGCCCGATTGCGCGTGGGGCAGGGTCGCAGGCAAGAGCTGTTCATCGCGTGGGGCGCGGGCGCAAATTCTTTCCCAGCGGGGGGTCAGCGCGCGGAGCGCGTCGTCGGGCCCCGGGCGCGGTGCGCCGTTCTCGCCAATCCGGCGTTTCATCCGGCGCCGCCCTCTCGACGCGCTCACGTTGCCCTTGGCCTCCTCCACCCTCCTGCTCCGATCCGCGCCCTCTAGCTTCTCCTCGAACCATCTGCCCTCCAACGCAACAATCAAAGAGCGCAGGCCGCCGGGGCCCGCGCAGACGCCGCGGTCGACAACGAAGACGAGAAAGACGGCATCGCGGCATCGGGGGGCACGAAGGACAGGAGACCACTGCTGTCTCCCCCACTCTCGGCGCGCCATGAATGCGAAATGGGCGCGCCGGCTTCCTTCGATGCCTGTCGATACTTCAGAGACTGCAGACATTCGACCGCCATCTCGCCGAGCACGGTCCTCGCTCTCCGAATGCGCTCCGAGAGGTCATCTGGGAGGGTCAGTCGCCTTGGCTGTTCTGAAACCACCCTCCTGCACCATGCATTTGGACCGATCCATCTCGGCGCAGCAAGGGGGGGGGGGGGGCAGGCCTGGGACAGGCCGTCGCCACTGCCGCGGGGCCATGGTCCGACGAAGCCCCTTTGTAGGTCAGGGCCCCCGCAGCGCGCGCAAATGCAACCGGCGCGTCGACGACGCCCGCAGGGAGGGCGGCGTAGACTCTATCAAGCCGAGGGGAACCCCGGGGCTCACCGCCGACTATGTCCCCGCGCACGGTGTCAGGCTTCAGGACCTCGCACCTCGCGCCAGGGCCGAAGTCGCCCCCTCAAGGGGCCTCCCATCTTCCAGCGGGGCAGAATTCCAGCCCCATGCAACCGGCGCCAAACTGTAAACAGCAAGAGTTAGGTGCGCCCAGAGTCTCCTTCAGATACAGCTTATGCGTGATCACACGCGCTAGGCATCTGCGCACGCGCAGTCGCGAAGCCCCCCTGGCCCCGAGCAGCGCAGCATGCGGGCTCTCCTTCTGCCGCCCCAATATGAACCCCATTCGGGGGCGAATCAACGAGAATCCCAACGCGTGTGGCAGCGCTGCCAGCTGCCCCATCCCCCATCAAACTGCCGCATAATGTGCCCGACCCTGGAACCGCGGGCCTCCTGGGAGCGTGCAGTCTGGCGCCTCTGAAGCAGCCGCGTTGTCTGCTGAGGTCTCGAGCTCGCTCTGAGATGGGGATGGGATGGGGGCGAAGAGAGCGCGAATGTTCCGCGCGCAGAGCGTGAACGGGGCAGAAAGACGATAGACTCCGACTCCGTCAGCAATCCCGGCCAGCGGGGGAGAAACTTACGACGCGGTGCCAAGTGAGATGCGACTGTCACTGCCCTCGGGAGACGGGGGGGCAGCTGAGCGCGCAGACCCCGCAGCTTCAGCACTACTCCAGTCGAGCCCCCTACCTTCACAACAGCTGCTGCACTCGCCGAAAGAGACGAATCCCCGAGGGGCGGGCACGCAAGCAAGACGCACGTGCTTCGCCCATGATCTCGGCCAAACCTGATCTGTCAACCATCGGGCCCACGCTGGCAGCCGAAAGGCCATCGCCCGCAATGCGAAACTCCACGACAACGACAGGAATGGCACCTTTGGCCGCGCAGATCGCCTCCCGAGCCCGGCGAGCCCCGTGGGTCCGACGCGCTCTTGCCCGCTAATCTGCGCCGCCGCCTGCCCCGCGTTCCCGAGATTGTAGGACAACTTGCGAGGCGACTGAGGGAGGTCGCGGCGGGCGCGGAGCTACGGGCCCATTCCGCACTCAAGATCAAGAAAGGTAAACCGCTCCTCTGACATGCACTTCGCGCGAAATGTGGAAGCCGGCAGAATGAATGCTCAAGGAATCGACGAACGCCTTCTTGCTGCTGCTGAAAGCCTTCATCTGGAGACGCGGGGCGCCGCTGGCCAGTGCGCGTTCGCTCGCGATCGGGGCGGCAGCCTGCCGAAGAGTAGTTTAGCAAAGCGGGCGGCGGAATCCCAGGGCTACAAGACGGGAGAGATTGCCGACGCCACCTAGATCGATGCGACGACGAACCTGCCGCCCTATATGCTCACCAGCCTCTGGAGTTGCCGTTCCAACCGCGAGGGTGTCAGCGCCTCCGATCTGCGCTCCCTCAACGCCGCTAGAGCCTCCTTCGTAGTACCAGTGACCCCATATCACGTTCTTCATCATCTCCATCTCAGCAACCCCACAATGCTGACTGGCCTGCAAGCGCGAGATTTGCATGAGCTGCCTGTACACTCTGAAGCTTCTTCTCCGCCTGCAGAGCCTGGCGCTGTATTATCGAAAACAGATGGTAAATCTCAGTGACACCTCGATCCAATAGCTGGGTGAGCGAATTCACACTGCACGAGAGAGGCTGAATGAGCTCTTTGACAACGACGACCAGGTTGGAATCAGCCGTGCTCGTACCGGGGGAAGGCGGGCAGTCGGAACGGCCCTCGCCCCCCTCGCCCTCAAGTGGACAGGTTGGTATATGGGATGTACCTGTCCATGACACGATTTGGCGCATCACCTCCATGGCGTGAGGGGGGGCGGGAACGGGAGCGTTGAGAAGCGGCCGCCGAGGGCCAGGGGGCGCTGCCGCGGCCCGCCCTTGGTTCCTGAGCGTGAGAGGTTGGAAAATTAAGTAAGGAGCAGGCCCCTTGAGCCAAAATGGCAACGGAGGGGGAGAGGAGAACGAGGAGGAGGAGAAGAGGGCCCAGGAGAATCACAACCCAGGTCGAGCGCGTGGGCTGGCATTCGTCCGCGTCTCGTGCGCATGGGTGCACGTGGGGGGGGGGGGGGGGCGCCCTTTGTAGGACTGAAAACGAGAGACGAGCGCACACCCCGCTCCACACCCGTCATCGCCCCACCCCCGGTAATCCTTCCTTTTCCTCTCCATTTCAGCCTTCCGGAATGTATGCAATCATATTCCATTGTGTGGGCCTAGCAGCGGAAAAGAGCCTCTGGAGGCAAAGTGGTTCTGGGTCAGGAAAGAACCTCATCGACTTCAAAGGGGGATGCTTCGGCCTAAAACCTGCTTGGTGTTCGGAAGGAGGTAAAAAAAAGCATGGGAGGGGAAACAGAAAGGACCGATGACGAACAGGAGGAACAAGGGTTGTGGCTGTTACGTGTTGTCGCGGGGGTTTTGCAAATAGTGACCTTCATCGGGTTCGGAGGTTGTCGGGGGCGCTGCCCTTTTCGGTTGCCAATCGCCAAACATTCGCCCCCTAATCGCGTTCGTGCCCAGCGAATCCACATCAGCGGAGCAGCAGTCGGAGCTGGTCCGCATGGATCGAAGGAGCCTCTGGGCCTCTAGGGCGCAGGTGGAAGAAGGTAGCGAACGTGGCGACTTGCGGAAGCTGAGTGAACGGGAGGGAGGAAGAACAGGGGCCGGACGCATCGGACAGCTGACGATCAGAGCAGGAAACAAGAGGATTAACATGGTCGCGGGGACTCGCCTGACTGCAGTGCCGCGCGGAAGTCGCCCAGCTCGAGGCGATGGGCCGTCTCCTTCCCCGCCGGTGAATATGCGTCTCCTCCCTGTCCACGCACAAAGCGCCGATTCACCACCACGCCTGGCCAGAGCCATCCTAGACTGGGCCCTGAAATGATGCCTACGCGTTCCTGGCCAGGGCAATGAGGGTCGGTGCATCATCCTACGGGCCAGGATGGTCAGGCATGGCGGTGGTGGTGTTTAGGTGCGGTCTGCGGACACCCTGCCCTCCATTCCCTGTCCGATCCCCTCCCGCCCCACTCATTTCCCATCCCGTCCCGCCCGCGGTATTCCACTCCCCCCCTGCCCACTCCCACTTGATGAGGGAGGGAGATGGCAGGGGCGAGGGGAAAAGGTGAAGAGAGGGAGAGGGAAGGGGACACTGAGCCTCCAAGAAGAGGGAAAGGAAGGAAGAATTGCTTCTTTGAATCTTCCCGCTGCTCCCATATCGCACACTCGCTCAATCGCGTCCAGCGAGAGACGTAGAGAAGGATGCACACGGGCCCTACTTGATGTTGGGATACACAGCGCCGTAGCTGCACTAGAAAGACTGAAGATGGCGACAAGGCGCGATACTTGCTAACAGAAACCACGTCCCCGCTCGGAGTAGACGCCGTACCCCCGAGGCTCCGTGGACAAACTGCGCTTCCAGTCGGAGAAGACACCGCGCCTCCCAAGAGATAGCGTTCCCAATTGGGGTAAACGCATTACCCCCAAGAGAAAGTGCGAACGCAGCCGAAAAATACCCTATACCTCACAAGAAAAAGGCCGCGCGCCGAATCGGAGTCGATGCCGTACCCCCACCAAGAAAACCTTGACGAACAAGCCCACATTCATACGAAACGAAAATGCTCGCCTCGCAGGCTCGTGGGACGGACCCGGTGGGCCCCTGATCGTGTCATTTCACCCACAACAAACATGAATCAGCCTGGGCCCCCTGGGCCCCAAACAGTGTGTCACTACCAATGTATGGTGTGCGATCTACGTTGTGTAATCATGTGTAATCTATGTTGTGCAATCTACGTGGCGCAATTGATTTTAACAAACGAGTTGACACATCCCCCGCTCTTGCAAACATCCCACCCACCCACCCGCACCTTGGTTTGCAAAATCTCTTCAGACCGTGACGGTGGGTACCAAATGGCACTTGGCAACGACAGCGACGCCGACGACAGCGCGAACGACGACGACGCCGCCGACAATGACTACGACGACACCGACGACGTCTCCAACGACTTCGACGACGCCGACAACGACGACGACGACGACGACATCGACGACAACGACGACGACGCCGACGCCGACGACGACGACGATGACAACGACGACGACGATGACGACGCCGACGACAACGACGACACCGACTACGACGACGACGACGTCAACGACGCCGACGACGACGACGGCGACGACGACGACGGCGGCGACGACGACGACGCCGACGGCGAAAAAGACGACGACGCCGACGCCGACGACGACGACGAAGACGACGACGACGTCGCCAACGAAGACAACGAAAAGGAGGGAGGACGACGACGGCGACAACGACGACAACGACGACAACGACGAGTGAGGAGGGAGGACGGCGACGACGCGAACGACGAAAAAGGAGGAAGGACGGCGACGCCGACGACGACAACGACGAGGGAGGAGGGAAGACGACGACGACGACGACGACGACGGCGAAGAAATAGGAGGGACGACGACGAGACGCAGACGACGGCCGACGACGACGAGAGAGGAGGAGGAAGGACGACCACGGCGACAACGACGACGGAAACGACCACGACGCCGAAGAGGACGACGACGACGAACAAGAGGAAAGACAGAGGACGACGTAGGCGACGATGACGACGACGACGCGGGAGGAGCGAGGACGGCGACGACGACGACGACGACGACGACGCAAGAGCGCGCGCGCACGCTTTTGTTGAAAATCCGTGTTGCGAAACCTTGTGTTTTGTAGTTTTTTGGACGCACGGTTTTGAAATCCTTCCGAAACCGATGGGTTTTGAAGGATTTCGGCATACGCGCGCGAGGACGCGCGCGTGTGCACTTCGTCCCGTTTTTGTTTCAGAGGACTCTCGCGACGGCACACGCGCAAGGGCGTTCGACAGATTTCGACACGCGCGCGCGCGCGAAGCCCGTTTGGTAGCATTTTGTGGGAATCCAGAAAAAAAAACCTGGTTTTCTTTCGCGATAGCTCGCGCGTAAGCTTTTTTAGCAGTTCAGTGATAAAACCATGTGTTTTTTATATGTTTTTCGGAAACCCGATTGCGAATTCCTTCCGACACCGACGGTTTTTTGAAGGATTTCGGCATGCGCGCGCGACGACGCGCGCGTGCGCACTTCGTCTTCTTTTTGCAAGGGATTCAGGCAAAGTTCTGAATTTTGATAAACGAGTGCGCGCGCATAGTATTTTGTGCAGAGGATGGCGGGGGGAGCGATACCGGTTCCCCTGGGGTAATGCAAATTCGCATTTAGGATGGACAGGTGGTCATAATCATACATGATTCACATATCCGAAAAAGGAGGCGGAGAACGCCGGGGGGGGGGAGAATGCATTCTTTTCTTAGAGAGGAGAACTGACGTTGTGCACTCTATGCGGCGCGACCTACGTGGTGCGACCTTTGCGGTGCGATGTTTGTTGTATAATTGATCTAAACAAACGAATTGGCAACGCTCTTGCAAACATCCCCCCCGCCCACCCGCAACTTGGTTTGCAAAACCAAAGCGGTGGCGATTGCGATGCACGATTCGCGTTAGCTGGTGCATCTCTGCGGCCGCGCCAACCCAAGCGCGCGCGCGCAGCGCGACCAACGCGGCCGCGGTGGCGCTGACCGCTGTGCACATCCCAGTTGGCACTTCATTGCGACTCGGCGAATTGGGCGGGCGCGGTATCATGGCAAAATCGACAACGGAAGACACGATGATGCTGGCGACGATGTTGACAACGACGAAAGCGCGGCCAGTGCGGGCGCCGATGGTGATCACGCCGACAACGATGACGGCGTCCCGGCGTCGGTGATTAAGGTTTTGGAACACATTCGACATGCGCGCGCGGCCGACGAGCGAGTTGCCCGCATGGTATTATTTGACGGATCATGCCCCCCCCCCAGCACGCGCGCAAGGGCGTGCGAATGATGTCGGCATGCGGCGCGAGAGGCCCGTTTGGCAGAACTCCATGAACATGATATATATATATATATATATAACCACAGGTGTTCGGAAGATTCCGCAATAGCGCGTGCGCACATTTTTTGGACAACTGATGTTGCGGAACCATGTGTTTATTTTTTGTTGGACGCTCGATGTTGAAATCCGTGCTAAGCCGAAGGTTCTTGAAAGATTTTGGCATGCGCGCACGACGACGCGCGCGCATGCACTCCGTCTCGTTGTTTGCACAGGATTCTCGCGACAGCACGCGCGCAAGGGCGTTCGAGCGATTTCGACATGCGCGCGCGAACCCCGTTTGGTAGTTGACAACCGATGGTTCTCTTCAGAACGTGTAAGAGCGCGTGCGCCTTTTTTTGTTTGAAACTCCGTGTTGCGAAGCCGTGTGTGTTAATACGTTTTGGGACACTCGGCTTTGAAATCCTTACGACACCGAACATGTTCGAATGATTACGGCATTCGCGCGCTACGACGCGCGCGTGAGCACTTCGCGTCTTTTGTTGTCAGTGATTCTTCCAAACTTATGCGCTTTGATAAACGAGTGCGCGCGCATAGCATTCCTTGCAAAGGATGGCGGGGGGCGGTCGATACCGATTGGGCTGGGATGGCACGAAGTCATATTTAGGATAGACGATGGGGCACAATCATATGTAAGCTGCAATAAGACAAGGGGGCGATAATTCCAGGGGCGAATCTTCTCTTTTAAAAGAGGATTGATGTGGTGCAACGTTTGTGGTGCAATGTATGTGGTGCAATGAAAGCGGCGGGAAGAAATGCGATTGCAATGTGGTTGCGACTGCTAAGGATGTGCAGCAAAACGACGCAGTCCGATTGCAAAGCAGTGCGCTTGCAAGGCAATGCAATGCAATGCAAAGCGATGCAAAGCAATGCGGGCCCAGACGACGGGCGGCGAGAGGCGGCCACGGGGCGGCGACGGCGACCACGGAGCCGCCAGACCGCCACGTCAGCCCAAACGACGGACGGCGACGAGGCGGCGACAGGGCGGCGACGGCGCCCACGGCGCCGCCAGACCGCCGCGCAGGCCCGGTTCCTCACGACAAACAAGCAGAACCCGCAGGTGACAGCACTGCTTCGGGAGTACAAGCGGCCTGGCAAGCATGGAGGGCTGCCATTCACAGAACAAGGTCGGATTCGACATCTGGGCTGACTGACCAGAAGATATGCGGCACAGCGCCCAGGAACGGGAGGGAAAGGCAGAATGTACAAGAATGAAGGGGCCCTGGGACACACAAATAAATACACACAAATAAAAGGACTCCCCATATTTACATGTACGTTTTGGGTTTTTATATTCCCCCCTACTTCCCATATTTTCCCATATTTTCTGGGGAATCGACGATTAATTGTCTGTGTGTTTTATCCCTCCTGAAGTAAAAGGTGGCGCGAGCGCACCTGGTCCCCTTCCCTCCCTCCTCCCTCCCCATCCTTCTCCCGCAGCCGCTCTCTTGCCCTCCCCCCTCCTCTCCTCCTCCTCCTCCTCCGCCTCCTCCTCCTCCGCCGCCTCCTCCTCCGCCGCCTCCTCCTCCTCCGCCTCCTCCTCCTCCGCCTCCTCCTCCTCCGCCCCCTCCTCCGCCTCCTCCTCCGCCTCCTCCTCCGCCTCCTCGTCCATCTCCCTCCACCTCCCTCCTGCAGAAGAAGAACAACCTGCATGATCATAAACCTTCGGAGATCCGCCCGGATCTCTTGGATCGGCGCTAAGCCCCGCAGCGCCAGAGGCGCCACCAGGGATGCCCAGCGCGACCCAATGAAACCTACGTGGACCTCCGAACGTTTATGCCTGTGCAGCTGCTTCCTGATCGAGCCCCTGCCTCCCTCCCGGCCCTCCTCGGCCACCTCTCTCTTCCGGTGGCGTCCAGCGGACGAGGAAGGGGCCTGCCGACGCTCTGAACGAAGAACAAGGAGCCATGAAAGCCGGGGCGGTCCCATGGCCCTGGCCGTGATATCCACACACCTCAGAGCCCCTACCCTAAGACGAGGCCAGGACGAGGATAGATTCGGGCGAAGATAAAGCGAGAATCTCCGAGATCCGGAGGCTCTGGAAGGTGTATCGGGCGCCGCGGCCTTCTCAGAGCGTTCTGGAACGCTCCGAGAGCGTTCCAACACGCTCTGGAACGGACTTTCTCCTCGTCCTGGCCCCGTCCGACAACCCCCTCCTTGGACGCCTCTGACCCCTGCCTCCCTAGACGAGCGCGCTCCACTACTCGTGAAGTAACTACTCGCAGATGGCCTGGATCCGCCGCGGGGGATCTGCGGCAAATTTCGCCGAAACGAAGCTATGTTTTTCAGACGCTTGCGAGTAGGCACTTTGCGAGTAGTGGAACGCGCTGGGTCTAAGTCGGGCCTGTCCCTCTACAGGGGGAAAATCCAAAAATATTCAAAAAATACAATGGAGACTATTTGTTGCGTCTTTCTTGACCATCTTGGAATATTTGTTGTGTTTTTCATTTTTCGCCCCAAATGCCCCTGTAGGGGGACACGCCCGACTTAACGCTCGGTGACTCCATCACTCCCTCATATCGGGGCGCCTTATTAAACCGGATCCCCTAAGCTCCAATCCAAAGAAAGCGCCCCAATAAACCGGACACCACCCAGTTACAAAAAAGGCGCCTCAGAAAACCAGGACGCGGGGGACGATTAATAAAGGACTTGCGAGTAGTGGAACGCGCTCGGTGACTCCCTCACTCCCTCATCCGGCGGTGGCCAGGCCTCCCTTTGCTGAACCTCCCCTTCGTGAAAACGGCCGAAGACCGAAACCGACGGGACCCGGGCCCGCAGAAATGACGGCCGCGACGCCCTCTCGCGAACCGAAGACGGCCGATTCCTGAATCGACGTGTCAGGGTAGGAGGTCTACCCGCCTCCGACTCTGCGCCGTTCGTCCTCCTCCTCCACCTCCTCCTCCTCCTCCTCCACCTCCTCCACCTCCTCCTTCACCTCCTTCACCTCCTCCTCCTCCTCCTCCTTCCTGAATCGACGTGTCAGGGGTCGGAGGTCTGCCCCCCTCCGGCTCCCATCGGCCGGCACCCTCCTCGACGCTCCCGCGCCGAGCGCGCGGAGCGCGGCAGGCCCAGCGGGAGATCCAGCGCCTGGCGGGCCGGGCGGAGGGCGCGGGCCGCGGGCAATCAGCTCCGGGGAAAGGCCTCGAGGGAGGCGGGGGGAGGGGGGGGGGGGCCGCCCCTCGGCGGCGAGCCCTGGGGCCCGGGGGGGCGACGAGGGGGGCGAATAGCGGAGGGCTGGGCGTGACACGTAGTCGCCCGGGAGCCTCGCCGGAGGCATGCACCATCGGCGCCTGGAGGTAGTAGGACAAAGGAGGCTACAGTTGGAGGAGGACACAGGAGATCGCAGGAGATAGGACCTAGTGGACTATGACCCATTGGATTGGTCCCCCCGTGTACGCGGCGCTCCACCCGTCTGCGGACGCCTCCGAGCCACATGCAGGCCCCACGGGCCACCGCAGCCAGAAAGGCCCCGCGGGCAGCGACTACAGGCACTGCCCTTCGCCGCTATCGTCGCCTCCGATTGGGGGGGAAGTGGGGGGGCCATCGATCGAGCAGGGACCGACCGCCCCGGCATTCTTATAGGCCTACCACGCAGCAGTTTCAGAACCCAAGCATGCTCTAACAACAAAAACGATGTTCTTAGATCATAAGCCCGAGGTGATAAAACAAGACAGTCTCAGCCAGAAATGTTCTAGGAACAGTTCGTGCAGACCACAAAAGGTAGTTAGAACATTCTTTGGTAGGCCTATAGGCAAGCTGGGACGCTTCGCAACTGCTTGAATCAATCGGCGGCGAGACCTTGGGGGGGAGTGAGCAGGGGTGGCCCGTCCCAGCAGGCTCGAAGTCCCCCGGCCCTTCTGAGAAGTGTTCTGAGCCTTCCCCGAAGACGCCGAGCACCTCTCAGAGGGCCCAGAGGCCTTCTGAGGAGTCCCGCCGCCTTCTGGGAAGGCGTTGTCCTCCCCACTTCCCCTCCTCGCTCGCCGCCGAGTGGAGCCCGATCGCCAGCGGACGAAGAGGGTCGGACATACACGGGTCCGCCACTACGCACGCCCATCCCGAGGCGGCTGGGAGAACGTCACCCCAACGCGCCACCTTTACGTGTGTAAACTTTCCAGCCGCCCCACGACAGGCGTCCCCGCTGGCGGAAACACAACATGTTATACCGATGTTCGCCCCCGGGGGTTGAGCCAAAGCGTGAGCGGGACTAAGCCAGGTTAGACCAGTTCGGCCAACATTAGGCCAGCACCACGAGGGGTACCAACAGCCTAGAGGTACCACATCTGAGTGCGGTGGGGCGGCCAACAAACACTGGCTGATCAGCCCAGGTGCCGCCCTTGTAAGTGATATGCTTCGGCCATCTTGCGCGCCTATGCCTACATCCACGCCGCCTCGTACTCGGAGCAGGTGGCATCGGAGCTGGTGTATCCTGCAGCGCCGATGCCGAATCCAGCCTCCCAAAGAGCTGCATCCGCGCACGGGGGCAGGGAGGCAAACAGGGGGTACTGCCGAGGCCGAACGAATGAAGTCCCACCGTTGCAACGAGGCCGCCCCCCTCCCCATTCCTCCTCTTTTCCACCTTGTGTGGGAGGACATCCTAATACTTTCGCCCCCAATTGGAGACAAACCGAACACATACAAGAGCATTGGAGTATATCGTTACCCAAGCGATATGGCCAGAAAGCGCCCCCGCCATCGAGCATATGCTACAAGATTTCTGATCGCGAAGCCCCTGGGAGCGCGACGCACGCATAGTAGAAATGAATGGTTGGTGATGCCGGTCCGCTTGCTTCTCCCCCCATCGGCGCATCTCGATGCAAAACAAACGCGCGTGGTATGATACGGCAAGTTCACGCCGCGATGACGTCGGCCTGGGCTCCTCACACCGCTTGAAGGACCACGAGCGGCGCAAGCATCAATTTCCGGAGGCGCTAGACCTGCATGGTCACTGGCGCCGACCCAAGACATCCGTGCGGCGCTCCAGAAGTGCATGTTAATCGGGAGGTGTGAAGGGTATCCATGACCCGCGCGTCGTCATTCAGGTTGTGCGAGCTGCTCATTCGCGCGATCCCCGAAGCAGCGCCTGCACTCACGAGGCCTCGCTTCACTTCCTAACCAATTCCGTGGGCGCCTCGTGTCCGACGAATGCGCTGGCTGTGCGTGCCTGGTGCTCGCCTGGTGGGCGCCTCGTGTGCTGGCGGGTGTTCCGAGTGCTTCGCCCGGTGGGCGCCCGTGGGCGCCTCGTGGGCGCTTCGTGTGCGCTGGCTGGGTGCCGTGGGCTTATGCGCCCGGTGGGCGCACATCAGCGGCCCCGTGCGCTGGCTGGCGCTTCTGAATGTGAAGGGACTCAGGGACACACACACATAGGTACACACAAATCCCAGGATTCCCAATCTTTTCCTATATGTTCTGGGCTTTCGTCTTCCATTCCACTTCCAATATTTTCCCATGTTTTCCTGGGGGTCGACGATTAATTGTGTCTGTGTGTTTCTTTCCCTCCTGAACATTTCACCTCATTGACAGCGCCGCGTAGTTTGCACCATGGCAAGCGCCACGAAGAGTGCGCCGCAGATATCGCGCCACATAGCTTGCACCGCATCGATTGCTATACGCCTAGCTTGCATCACATGCGCAGCATGCAATGCGGAGGGCGCGCCGCTGGATAACCCCAAGGGGGGGTGGGGTTGGTAACCCCTCCCCCCCCCTTTCCCCGGTCCGTCGCCCCCCTTGGAAATTCGAGCCCCCCCCCCCTCCCCAATGTGGCCACGCCGCCCCCTGACTCCAGCACCCGCCCCCCCCCCTTACCTCCCCCAACCCGAATCCTCACCCGAACCCCAAACCCTAGAAGACCCAACCCTTAACCCTAGCCCCAAACAGTACTCGATGTTCATACTCACTACCCCCTACCCACTACCCACTACTCACTGCTTCCTGTGTAGTACTCCCAACTCACTATTCACTGTTCACTACTCTGTACTGAATGCTCACTAGTCACGACGCACTACTCACTGTACACTACTCAGTGAACACGATCCACTACTCCCTACTCCCTACTCCCTACTCACTATTCACTCCTCATTGCTCACTGCTCACTACCACCTACCCACTAGTCCAACACGATACTCACTATTCACTACTCGCTACTTCCTTCTCGGTACTCGCTACTTACAGTTCTGTACTCACTACTTACTACTCACTACCCACTACTCACAATTCCATACTCACTACACACTACTCACTATTCACTACTCACTATTCACTACTCACGATTCACTACTCATTTCTCACTACTCACTACTCGGTACTCCCTACCCGCTACTCCCTATTCAATATTCCCTACTAGCCACCCACTACGCACTACTCACTAACCACTAACCACTGATCGCTACTCACTACTCTCTACTCACTAGTCACGAGTCACTACTCACTACCCACCACTCACTACTGACTACTCACCACTCGCTACTCACTACTCAATACTCACTGCTCACTACTCACGATTCACACAACGTACGACAAGGTGCCCACTTCTCACATCTCATTACACACTACTCACAACTCCCTACTCACCACTCACTACTCGCCACTCACTACTCTCTACTCGCGACCCCCTGCTCGCTACTCACTTATCCCGACCCACTACTCACCAACCACCAACCTCTACCCATTACTCACTACTCACTACTCAATACTCAATAATCACTACACACTGTTCACTGTTCACTACTCACCATTCCCTACTCACTACCCGCTACTCTCTAGTCACTGCTCACCACCACCTACTCACTACTCACCACTCACTACTCACTACTCCCTACCCCCTACTCCCTAGTCGCTAGTCACTACGCACTACCCACTACTCACAACTCACCACCGACTACTCACTACCCATCATTCACTACTTACTACTCCCTACTCCGTACTCGCTACTCATTATTCACTACTTACTACTCATTACTCACTACCCGCTACTCACTACCTACTCATTACTCAATATTCACCAATCACTACTACGCACTACGCAGTACTCACAATTCACTATTCAGTACTCACTGCTCGCTACTTTCTGCTCACTTCTTACTACTCCCTACTCACCACTCACTATTCCCTACTCCGTACTCCCTATCACCCTTCTCCGGCGCAGAAAGGAGCAGCGGGAGAGGCCCCCTCCCCGGCTCTCTGTCCGGCGCAAAGGGGGGGAGGGGGGGAGAGTCCGAACCCCTCTCCCCCCCCCTTCCAGCGCCAAAGGGGGGGGGTCCAGACCCACCCCCTTCAAAGGAGGGGGGGGGTCTAGGGTTTCTGCCATCACGTAACTCCCTCTTCGAAGGGTGGGAGGGAGGGGGGTTCTGCGAGCACCTCCCCCCTTTTCAATTACAGGGTGATCCAGTGGGGCGTTTTCTATCATGCGCATCTCGCGTGCAAGCGCTCACCGTTTGGAGTTCATGCTGGTAAACTTTGTAGAACAACCTGGCGTTCCTTCAGTAGTGACACGCCAATGGGGTCTCCTGACCGACGTACCACTATTGATACGGATCTTTCTCTCCGAGCTAATGCATCTGTTTGTCAGTCCAGTCGGCGTTCACATCTGGCGCCGCGTGGACCCTTCGACCTTGAATGGTCGAAGGATCCACGCGGCAACTGGCGGAGTTCAACCTCGGGCGCCAGCGCTGGGGTCGCCGTCGCCTTAACGCGGTGCGAGCCTATTGTCTGGCGATGCATCCCAGAGCAGATGCGGTCGAAGCCGGGAGCAGTCAGTGCATGCTGTTGCCCAGCTGGCGCCCGCTCGTCAGAACAAACGAGGCACCAACCTCGCGCCAGAACTGCCACGGCGGCGGACAGATGGGCGAAGTCGGCAAGAGCTGGGACGAGGGAGACTGGTAACTGGCATACAATATACAGAGAGAGAGAGGGCGGGGAGACAGAGCTGTAGAGGGAATGGGATGTCAACAAAAACCTTCCAAAGAACTCGATCCTCGATCTTGGAACCTCCTCGGAGGCCTGGTCCCACGCCGGGGAAGGCCATCAAACATACCGCTGCCACGAGCTCCTGCAGCTTCCCATGGGACGCGCAGGACTCCGACGCAGATGCGGCCGCGGCGACGAGGGCCCCCAAGGGAGACACCAAAAGATGGCACCGAGGGACGGGCATCGGCACCGGTGCGGTCATTGTACTGCCAGAATTAGGTCGGGCGTGCCCTCCTACAGGGGGATTGTGGACGAAGAATGAAGATGGTAAAGAATAGTCAGAAGTGCCTCCCCAGACCATGTTTGGTCTATTTTTGAATCTTCCTCCTGTAGAGGGACACGCCCGACTTAACAGAAGGAGCGCTGCACAAGGACCGACGGGGCTCTTCTGACCACGGCGAGCCTCGGCCGCGAGTAGGGGGCCCCCGCCCGGAATCCGGGGAGCCGGCCCGAAAACCCGGGCCCCTGATGATCGTTGAAGGCTTCACGACTTCTGCCGTCCTGCGACTCGCGCTAGAGCGGCCGCAATTTGCTCCGACTGTCCCTGAAGGTCTCTGGATTGACCCAGATCTACCCGGATCAGCACTTCCCTGGATTTATCTGCCTTTATGTGGATTCATCTGGCTCGATCCCCACAAGTCGATTTGCAAAAAGTCGCGAAGCCCTTAGGGCGATGAGCCCACTGTGCCATCTGTCTCTATCGGCGGTGGACAAACCTCCCTTTAATAAACCTCCCCTTCGTGAAAACGGCCGAGGACCGAAACCGACGGACCTGGACCCGCAAAAACGACGGCCGCGACGCCCTCTCGCGAACCGAAGACGGCCCCTTCCCGAATCGACGCGTCAGCGTGGGAGGTCTACCCACCCCCGGTGGACGTTTCTGAAAGGGTGGCCCGCTCTTTCTTAGGGGAACGGACAATGACACAAACATAAAAAACTCGGAAGTCCGCGCGGACTCCTCGGATCGGCGCTGCGCTCTGCGCGTCAGGGAGGGGCGCCCAGCGCCGATCCGAGCAATCCGACCCTGCGCCCTTCGGCGTCCTGGCCGCGGCCGCGGCCGCCCCTCCCCCGACGCGCCCACGGGCCGCGCCGCGCGCCCGGCCCAGGAGGAGGATGAGGAGGAGGAGGAGGAGGAGGAGGAGGAGGAGGAGGAGGAGGAGCGAGGAGCAGGAGCGAGGAGCAGGAGGAGGAGCGAGGAGCAGGAGGAGGAGGTGGAGGAGGAGGAGGAGGAGGAGGAGGAGGAGCGAGGAGGAGGAGGAGGAGGAGGAGGAGGAGGAGGAGCGAGGAGCAGGAGGAGGGGGAGGCGGAGCCGTGCCCCGCGGCCGCCCCCCCCCCCCCCCCCGGGGAGGGCCTGGCGGCCTGGACGCCGCCTGGGCCGTCCACGTGCTCCGCGAGGTCCTCCCGCGCCCGCCCCGCGCCCCACTCCGGAGGGGGACAGGGCCCGACCTTGTGCCTGGGCCCTGGGTCGGGCACGTCTCCCTACAGGCGGATTCTGGACGAAAAATAAAAATGACCAACAAAATGTTCAGAAATGAAATCGTCCCCAGACTATTTTTTGACTATTTTTGAATATTCCCCCTGTAGAGGGACAGGCCCCCCCCCCCGGAGGGCAGGGCCTGCCTTTGTAGAGGGCAGAGAATGCACCCCGAGAATCACCACCCCGACGCGCGAAGCCGTCTCGTGAACGCACCCAAAGAAGGGATCACACAGGGCGGGGCTGCTTATTGTAAACGCCCAGGGCTGTCAGTATTGGGCGTGGCATAATGGGGGGGTCACAAATGGAGGGGTCAGAAAAGGTCCCCTTTCGTGCCCCTTTCGGGCCCCTCCAGAGCCCCAGGGGCTCGTTTAGGTACCGTTTGGGTACCTTTTCGGACCGCACTCGCCGCCACCCCATGTATGATCCCCCATTACGCAGCGCCCAATAGTAGACGCCAATTGTCGGTCCGGGTGATTTTTCCTCCCTTGACAATGCGCCGCGGCGCCTGGCCCCGGAGGCTGCGGGGCAACATGCGTTAAGGGGGGGAGGGCCAGCTCGCGGGGGGGGGGACCCTTTGAGCTGGAATGCGCGATACGTCGCCGGCAGGTCGGCGATAGGCCCCCGATGGAGACACCACACGTTCCTGGCCAGGGTGGGTTGGCGGGCCCGTCGGTCAGGACACTTCGAGCTGGAATGCGCGATACATCGCCGGCAGGTCGGCGATAGGCTCCCGATGGAGACACCACACGCTCCTGGTCAGGGTGGGCTAGCGGGCCCGTCGGCGATCAACAAACGATCGGGGGCCGGTGCGCGCCACTCCCCCCGCGCCCATGCCCGCCCAGCGTTGCCCCTTTGCTCTCCCAAGGTTGGACAATATTGCAGGGGCCCTGGGACACACAAATAAATACACACAAATAACAGGATTCCCGATATTTTCCCATATTTTCTGGGTTTTTGTCTTCCCGCCCAATTCCCAAATGTTTTCACATTTTCTGGGGAATCGACGGTTAATTGTGTCTGTGTGTTTCTTTCCCTCCTGAAAGACCCCCCCAGGATAGCACCGCTTGGCGCTTGGCGCTTTGTGCTTCGCGTCTTCCCGGAGGCAGCTCTGGGTCGTTTTGGCTCACGCCGCCGTGCTGGCCAATGCGGATCGCCATCCTGCGGGCGCATCTCGCCCCACGGCCCCAGTGGCCACGTGTGGCCCAGCTCTGCTCTCGTTCGCGCCCGCTTCTTTGTCGTGCATGGCTATACGTGAGACTGGCCCTGTAGACAAGGAGTGACCCTTGGTGCGCGGAGCCCCGGGGCCGCGGAGGGTCAAACCAAAGGGTGCAGGCCGCTGCGAGGGGGATCAATGTGCCACACCACAAATATCACTCCGGCGGGGGGGGTCACTTCCTCGCGCAGGCGGGCCGGGGTCTTTGGACGCCCGAAAGGGGTACTGAGAAAATGGGTACAATGCCCCACAACATATGTTGCCCAAAACAAACTGCGGCCGCTGTTGGGCGGGCGGCTTTTTGGCTCCAATGAACAGCGTCCGCGGCGGTGCGGACAGCGAAGCCGGTTCAAAATGATCAAGAACTGCTGTTGGGCATCGTACCCCGTTTTTCCGTACAATGCGGGCGCGGACGCAAGAAACCTCGCAAGAGAGCGTTTCTTTCGGGGGGGGCATATGACGTAACGCCCCCCCCCCCGCCGCGTGGCTCCGGCACCACAGCCGCGCCCGCGCGCACGACGCGACGAGCGACAAGCGACAAGCGACGACGACGACGGCGACGACGACGTCGCGAGCAGCATGTAGGTGGCGATCTGCCCCCCTGCGCCTGTACACCACAACGCTCGCGTGCGCGCGCGCGTACACTACAACGCCTGCGCACATCGCAACAATCGTGTGCAACGCAGCGCCTGTGTACACTGCAATGCTTGCGTACACTACAGCGTCAGTGTACACGTGCACACCGGAGGCAAACATGTGCAACACAACGCCTGTGTACACCACAGTGATTGCGTGCACCGCGGCGCCTGTGCACGCCGCGCCGCCTGTCTACACCACGCCATCCGCGTCCAACTCAACGCTAATGTAAACCACAGCGCCTGCGTGCATAGGACAGGTAGAAAAAGCCCGTGCGTGAGGATACGTGGCGGAAGCGCCGCGCCAGGAAAGTGCTGATAATCGAATGCGACGGTTTTCCCTCTCCCATCTCCTCCATTTCCGCCTCCTCCTCCTCCTTTTTCTCTTCCTCCTCACAGACACAAACGCAGCATGAGGTCAAGTCGAGCAACTGACACCAGGCTGAAAGCACGACTCGAAATCGACCTGAGAGAGAGAGAAAGAGAGAGAGAGAGAGAGAAAGAGAGAGAGAGAGAACAAACAGAGACAGAGAGATATAGAGAAAGAGAGAGAGAGAAAGAGAAGAGAGAGAGAGATAGATAGAGAGAGCGAGAGAGCGAGAGAGCGAGAGAGAGAAAGAAAAGAGAGAGAAACGAGAGAGAGAGAGAGAGATAATGAGAGAGAGAGAGAGAGAGAGAAAGAGAGAGAGAAGAGAGAGAGAGAAAAGAGAGACAGAGAGAGAGAGAAAGAGAGAGAGAGAGAGAGAGAGAAAAAAAAAAGGGAAGGGAAGAGAAGAGAAGAGAAGAGAACACAAGAGAGAGGCTATGGATGTCTCTGGGCTGCCTGACCGGAATTGCGGTCGGCGGCAGGCCACGCAGAGGCGAGAAGGGGTCCTCTTCACCCCCGCCCTCGCCCAGGAACCTCCGCCTCCCCCGCCGCCAAGGTGGGGGCCTGCTCGAAAGCGAAGGGGCAGGTGCTGAGCCTAGCGCAGCTCGCTTTGCGCCCTGGCTGTAGGGGGTTGACCCTAATCAGCGAGGATACAAAGCAACATAATATAAGGCCGAAGCTTAATAGGGACAACAAGCTTCGCTGTTTAGGGAAAGAGAACGACAGCCTCATTCCCTTAACTGCTTGGAGTTCTTGGAACCACACGTGGCCTAAAATGGCCCACTCCTTTGCGACAGAATGCCGCGGGCGCTTCCCAGGCGCGCGCGGCAGCTGCGGAGGACAAGGGGCGGATCCTCCTTCTCCTCCTCCGAGAAAACACGCGCAGCCCAAACGCGCAACGCGCGCGCCATGATACTCAACCCCTTCCACTCTCCGTCCTCCCCAGAAATGGCGGGCAAAAAGCAGCAGAAGCTCTGAAGGATAGGGGGGGGAGAATGGATGATATATGGATGACGAGGGGGAGAACGGGAAAGGGAGGCACTGCGCTGGGCTGAAGACCCCAGCTACGTTACGACAGGACAGTATGGTAAATAATCATGCCTGCCAATTGCACCCCTCACTCGCTGTTCAGTCCCTTACGCAGCGAGCCCCTGGGATTCAAGGCAGCCGCTGGGCAAAAGAAGCTCTCGAACCTAAAGGTTCTGAACAACCCTGGGGCTTCTTCAAGACGTCGTGATTGTCCGAGGTGGCCACGAAGGAGTTGGCCACGCCGCTGGCATCGAAACCCCTCTCGGCCCCGACGCGGCAAAAATGCGAGCTATGGTCGCCAGGCATGTCGTAGTTGATGAGAAGGTCAACCACTGAGGTGTCACAGTCGCACTCGTAGTCGTCGCTTGCAACGACAACCTTTGGGGAGCTCTTGAACGTGTCATCGCCTATGTTGCGGTTCGTGTTCGGGTGAAGAACCGCCGCCTGTCGGAAGCACTCCTCCAGAACACTGCCGAGCGCCTTTTGCCCGATCCACTGACCGCGCGAAAACAGCAGCCTGGTTGAATTCTACGGACTTCAAAGTTTCAAGCAGCTTCTTGTTCTTGGCGCGCTCAGGGAGTTCCACAAAACAGTGATGAAAACTGTATATTTAGTGTCGAAGCTGTTGCTATCACCGGCGGCTCCGCTCTCCTCGAGGGCGACTGTCTTCTCTGCGGGAGTGGTTGGCTCCACAGTCTGGACTCCCACCTCCTGCTTTCCGAGGTCAGCACCAATGTTAAAACTCGAATGCTCCACAATGCTCCATTTAGAAGCACACTCTTGGGACGGGTTGAGATTATATCGGCACGGAGATCCAAAACAAGAGACTTGACGTCAATCAACTTATCGTCCAGGCTGTGGATGGCCTGACCCTCGATGGTCTTGGAAGCGCTGAACCGATCATATGCGGGCCCAGGGTGGGCAACTTCAGGATGACTATATTCTCCTGGGTGGCTGTCGGGACTAACCTGACCCCTGTGGGCCTCAAGTTCCCTTCCCGGCAGAGGAGAATCTAGATAATCTTCCCGGCAATGTGCTTCTCGTACCTCTTGCTGCACCTGCTCGATGACGGCCACCACTGACGGGCCTGTGATATGCCGAATCAAATGGTACGCGTACTCGACGCGCAAAATCTTATTGCGGGTCTTACCTGGAGGGCGAAAGAACGTCGAAGCCATTGCAAGACCCTGGAAATTGGCGGCCAACAGCAGACGACATGTCCCTGAGGAGACATCCGTGAAGGGAGCAGAGGAGCTGAACTGGGTCCGGCACGCAAAGCTCCGATTGCTGCGTGCAGAAAAGCATGGAGGCGACACCTCTTGCCGAGCCTTGAGCCGAAAATGGTTACGGTGCCTCTCTTCCTCCTCCTCCTCCTCCGCCTCCTCCTCCTCCTCTTTACCCCCTGTCGTGCGGGTTGGCGCTACAACGTACGTGCGCAACTCAGCGTGCACCGCAGAATGGTCGATTGAATCGACCCACTTGGTTCTCGGACGGACAAGTTAGCTGGAGCCTCCTGGACGCAAATGGGAGGAGTTTAGGTGATGCGGGCGAACTCGGAAGGACTCGTAGATTCCCCTGGTGCTCCCTCGTCCATAAGGATTATGATTTGGTGTTTTTTGTGGAATCCACAAACGCTCCATTTTGTCATACAGATTCCTTCTAACATTCTACATACAACAGTGGTGCTGTGTTGCACACGGTTGCTGTGGTGCACACAAGCGCCGTGGTGCACACAGGCACTGCAATGCACGCAGGCATTGTGGTGTACACTGCGGTGTTGCACAAGGCTGATGTGGTGTACACAGGCACTGTGGTGTACACAAGAGCTGTTGTGCCCGCGCGCGCGGTGGCACAAACTGACGTTGTGTTGCACGCGGCTGCTGTGGTGTACATAGGCGGCGTGGTGTACACAGGCGCTGTGGTGCACGCAGGCACTGAGGTGTACACAAGCGTTGTGGTGCAAATCGCCACCTACATGCTGGTGCCACCCGTCCTCCGACATTCCGAGGCATTCCCAGGCGCCGCCAGTGCGAAGCGTGACGTCATCGCCTCCCCCCGCCCCCCCAAAATGATTGCCGTCATCGGCCCGGAAAAAAAAACAGGCTCCAGCCGGACACCTACGCGGATCCCAATGCGCACGGCGGCAGTGCCCGGAGCGCACTGGGGGGGGGAGCGTTACGTCATAGGGAGGGGGGGGGGCGGGGGCCATGACGCCCGTCATGCCCCAAGCAATAAAGAAATGGTCTCCAAGAAACCCAACCCTGAAAACCCGCGCGCGAGGTGCGCCTGAGGGGAACCCTGGAGCACCCTGAACGCAGCTGCTTCTTCAATGGCCGCGGGGAGTCACCGCATAGCGCGTGGAGCGAAGAAACCCAGGATACCCTGACGAAAAGCACATGGTTTCTTGATGCGCGCCCCCACTGTACCCATTTCGATCGTCCCGAGGGTCGGGGTGAGGCCTGGCTCGGCGTCGGTCCTGCGCCTCTCGCGCCGGCTGGCGCGGGCAGCGCCCGGGGGCCCCCCGCGGCGCCCCCCCCTCGGGAGGCAGAACGGGGCGCGGCGCCGAGGCCCTGCGCCGCCACCAGTGCGGACCCTCCCCCCTGGAGCGGGAGGGGGGCCGTTCGGCGTCCGAGCCCTTTCGGCCGCCGAGGGGGAGGAGTGGTACGGCAGGTTCGCGCGGCGTCGGCGCGCGCAAAGGTTTGTGACACAGCGTCGATCGTTCAGCCTTGAATCGATCGCGGCCCCGATTGTTCACGGTTGACTCCAGTCGGGTCCAATGGCATTACCGTGCCCATCGGTGCGTCCGCGTCGCAAAATTCAACCTTTAACGCCTTCGCTGGCGTCGCCAGCGCGTCAACGCCGCAAGAACCTACCGTACAGTGGAGTCCAGTCCACAAGAAACCTTCCACAAGAAACCCAACCCTGGGACCCCAGGAAGTCCATCGATTTCTGGTGTGGGAACGTCACACCTTGCACAGAAAAACCGTCGAAACCTGGGAAAGCCAAGGGCACCCTGGAGGCACGCAAGGTGTTTCTTGGCGTGGGCCTCCACTGTAGGCTGTGATCCCGTGAAACTGTGGTGGCGAGGTTGGCCCTTGGGCCTCGGTGGCATCCCGTCGCGTACGCACTCTGCCCGCGGGGCTCTCCGGGCCGACGCGACAGGGCTGCGCGACAAGGCGGGCCCGTTCGGCGCCGACGGGGCACCACCACCGGGAGAACGCCCCGAACGGGATGAGGGCCCGCAGGGCTCGGGGAGGCCGGTCGGCGTGCGAGCCCGCTCGGCCGCCGAGCCCGCGGCCGAGCGGGGTTCCGCTTCGGCGTGGAGGTGGGGCGTGTCGGCCCGCTCGGCGGCCGAAGGAGGACCGATCCTGAGCCCTTCTGGCGGCCGAGCGGGCTCAGAGGGTAACCCTCGGGGGGGAGGGCATTTCGAACCTCCCACCTCCCGCGCCTTCCACGCAGCAGGCGCCGGGCCTGCCGCGGCCGCGCCGAACGCGGCGCCTGCCGCGCAGAAGGGCGCGGAGGAGCGAGGGTCGGCGAGGGATGGGGGCGGTCACCAGTCGCCCGAGCGTCCAGGCCGCCCAGCCTTCGCCAGCCCACAGAAGCCACGAGCTTGCTGGCGTCGTTCTGCAGGGCTCCTCTTGCATGAAGCTTCGCTCGGCTCGCCATAAAACGTCTGCTGGCAAACAGGTGCACAGGGCGTCGGGCAGGACGTGAAGTGTAAATCGAAGCTCCTGTCGACCCGAAGGCTGGGTCGACGCGGCTGTGAGGTGAGAGCCGTCCACGACGCACCCCGTGGCACAAGCCGTGGACACAGCGATGAACAGCGGTCAAGAGGCCTCACCTTCCAGTCTTCTCTCCTCATTGTGCTCCTCATCGCTCCTCCTGCTCCTCCTCGACCAGACCATCCCCGTCCCCGTCCTCCTCCTCGGTCATCCTTCCTCCTCCCTCCCTCCTGCTCCTCCTCCCTCCATCGCCCTTGCTTCATCCTCCTCCCTCCCTCCTCCCTCCCTCCTCGCTCATTCCTCATCCTCATCCTCATCCTCATCCTCATCCTCATCCTCCTCCTCCTCCTCCTCCTCCTCATCATCATCATCATCATCAGCATCATCATCATCATCAGCATCATCATCATCATCAGCATCATCAGCATCATCAGCATCATCAGCATCAGCATCAGCATCAGCATCAGCATCATCATCATCATCATCATCATCCTCATCATCCTCATCATCATCCTCATCATCCCGCTTGCCCTCTTCACCTCTCCCTGCCACCTTGTCGGCCTCTCGCCCTCCCCCCCTCCCCTCTACATCGCCTCCCCCACCTCCCCCCCTCCTGCGCAGACAGGAAGCCATCGCCATCGACGTCCAGGTACCTGAAGGCAAGGCGCAAGATCTCCGGCCACGTGCCCATGTCCTGGCACTCCCAGCGCGGGCGGGGGGCAAATCCGTCGTGGATCTGCCCATCGCATTCGTAGCACACGCAACGAAACATCCTGCTCGCAGAACCTTAGGGCGCCCTTGCCATCCGTCTTTACTTTCCTACGGTGCCCCAAGAGAAGGCCGTTGGGGGATCAAACTTTTCCGTGGAGCACTGGCTGGCAGGCTGGCTTCTTTCTTGTCTGTTTGCCGTACCAGGAACCTGGCCGCGTTTCATCATCGACGACGTCGGTCGCGACAAGTCGGGCAGCAAAACGGGGTGCGGCATAGAAAGCTGCCCCGCGGAGGAAGGCGAAAGAGGGGCCGCGCTCAGAGCATGAAACACTTTAAATAGGTTGGCTTTCCATGCTGGACAATATACCAAGCCGACCACGCCGTGTGTATCCAACTTCCTTGAGACACGGAACAATGTAGATGCAATTGGAAGAGTGAGCCAACGTCACAGGACAACGCGGTGGAGCAAATAATGAAGCAAATCAGCGACATGGCACGTGGAAGCGAGCAGCGGACTGGCAAAGCAATATCAATATCAGAGTGAGGGGGCCGAGCGGTCATTCACTGTCCCTGGGTGCGTGGCTGAAGTGGAATTCCGCGGTGCGGATTCTCGTTGTTGTTGTTGTTGTTGTTGTTGGTTGTTGTTGTTGTTGTTGTTGGTGTTGTTGGTGTTGTTGTTGTTGTTGTTGTTGTTGTTGTTGTTGTTGTTGCTTGTTGTTGTTTGTTGTCGTCGTCCCACCCGCAGCCCGGCCCGCGACCCACCCGCGACCCACCCCGCGACCCACCCCGCGACCCACCCGCGACCCACCCGCGACCCACCCGCGACCCACCCCGCGACCCACCCCGCGACCCACCCAGCGACCCACCCCGCGACCCACCCCGCGACCCACCCCGCGACCCGCCCGCGGCCCACCCCGCGACCCACCCGCGACCCACCCGCGACCCACCCCGCGACCCACCCGCGACCCACCCGCGACCTACCCCGCGACCCACCCGCGACCCTCCCGCGACCCAAACCACGTTCAAGGTACAAACCACCATTTTCGGCGCCTGCGGCGGGCTTTTTTTACATTCCTTCCAGGTTGAAAGCCCGCGACCCACCCCGTGACCAACTCGCGACCAACCCGCGGGCATCTTTTGCATTCGTTTCAGGTGGAGAGCCCGCGGCCCACCCGCGACCACGTTCAGGGTACAAACCACATTTTTCGGCGCCTGCGGCGGGCATCTTTTGCATTCGTTCCCGGTGGAGAACCCGCGGCCCACCCGCGACCCAAACCACGTTCACTGTACAAACCAATGTTTGGGGCGCCTGCGTCGGGCTGCGTTTGCATTCCTTTCAGGGGGAGGTGGAGAGCCCGCGACCCACCCGCGACCCAAACCACGTTCACTGAACAAACCAATGCCGCACAAGCGCGGCGGCGGATTTTTGCATGCCGCCTGAGCCCGCAAGGACCTCTTCAAGCCCCGCGCATCCACACCAGCCCGTCCAGCAACTCTGCCCTGGCGAGTTGCCTTAGTCAAAGAAGGCGGGGAGCATAAAGTGGAAAAAAGGATTGCGTTGCAGTTATCTTGGGAAAGGAGGGGGAGGCAGGAGGAGTAAACAGGGGACGAGGAGAACGCGGAAGAAGAGAGGATGTAAGGATAATGTGGAGAAAGAAAAGGAGGAGGAGCAGGAGGACGAGGAGGGGCAGGAGGGGGAGGAGGAGGACGAGGAGGGGGAGGAGGGGGATGATGATGATGATGATGATGATGATGATGATGATGATGATGACGATGATGATGATGATGATGATGATGATGGACGACAGTGGGAGGACGATGATGGAGGCCGATGAGGGGGAGGACGATGATGACAGGACGAGGGAGGGAAAGGGAGTACGAGGAAAAAGAGGAGGAGGAGGACGAGGTGGAGGAGGAGGATGACGATGACGATGAGGACGAGGACGAGGAAGAGGAGGAGGAGGAAGAGGAGGAGGAGGAGGAGGAGGAGGACAGCGCCATGGACAGGGAAGGTGGGGGCCACGAGGTCCGCCGGCTCGACGACGCCCGCGTCGCCCGCGACCGCCCCCTCACTCTTATCCGCAATTGCGGGGTGCTACGATACTTGAGTGGTGAGTGGATCAAATCCGCCGATCTCCCATCTCACTGAGGTCACCAAGCGCGTGAGATTCTGCCCCCCCGCAGTGGTCCTCTCTCTCCACATGGTCCGAATCTGAAGACGTGCGGCGAGAGCCCACACCGCAGTTTCTCGGCGGGTTCTCCCCGCCCCCCCCAGCTTCCTTCTCCTCCGAGCAGTCTCGACGGATGAGGCGCAGGGCGCAGGCCCGAGGAGTTAGAATGGGTGTAACATACCTCTTCTCCCCTCCCCCCCCTCCTCGTCGTCGTCCGCCTCCTCCTCCTCCTCCTCCTCCTCCTCCCCCCCTCCCCCCCTCCCCCCCCTCCTCCCCCCCTCCCCCTCCTCCTCCTCCTCCTCCTCCTCCTCCTCCTCCTCCTCCTCCTCCTCCCTCCTCCTCCCTCCCTCCTCCTCCTCCCCCTCCCCCTCCCCCTCCTCCTCCTCCTCCTCCTCCTCCTCCTCCTCCTCCTCCTCCTCATCCTCCTCCTCCTCCTCCTCGATGTATCACGACGCCCGAAGACCGACTGTCGGCCCCTGGACCTCGAGAAGAACCCAGCCTGGCCACAAGGGCGCCCTGGAGGACAAGCAATGCTTCTACGACGTCTGAAGACCTGCAGCAGACCCCTGGCCCTCCTGGACCAGACCAGGAACGGAAAAGGATACCCTCGCGCACCATGGGGTAGCGTGCGATGCGAGCACAGCGCAGGGTACCACAGCAGCGGCAAGGGCCGCCGTGGGCCGCCGAGGGTGGTTCTAACTGTGCTCGTTTCTCATTGTTCCCGGCCCTCTGGTCGCCAGGACGAGGCCCAGGATAGAACAATTAGAAGTGAAAGGATCTTGGCCCCCGACAAATCAAAGAACTGCCGAATAATTAGCAATGACAATGTGTACTGTAGAGCAAGGGTCTTGGAACTTGTCCGCCGTTCTCAGGCCTCCGGGGCCCTCAACGGCCACGGGACCGTCAGGAAACGACTCACGAGGAAGAGCTGGTCCTGGGGACCCCCCAGGCGCTGAGGCCTGCTTCCCTCCAGTGTCCTTTCCTTCGGGGGCGCCCAAGAGGGGGGGCGTCCAAGAGGGGGGGGGGGGGGGGGGGGGGGGGGGGGGCGCAAATCACATGGCCGGCGGCATGTGCGCGGCGCCCATGGGGGGGCTGGGGACGTAACGAAATAAGAAGAGGCGCCATGAAATCTGGGGAAATATCATGGCCCACGCCATGATATCCACCCCCCCTAGTCATCACCCCCCTCTTGGCCGCCCCCGATTCCCTCGTGGCGGCGGAGGCAGGCCGGGGCGGGGTCGGCGTCCCGGAGCCAGCGCTCTACCGGCACCGCGGCCACCTGCTGGGCCAGCTGCAACAGGTACCTGGGCGTCACGAGCGACGAACATAGTCTTAGGTCGGGCATGTCCCCCTACAGGCGGGCTTTGGACGAAACGTCAAACATACACCAAAAACAGATTCGAAATATTGTCAAACATGGTCAAACAAATCCTCCCCAGACTATATGTCTGTCTATCTTTAATGATTCCTCCTGTAGAGGGCCACGCCCGACTTAACCATAGTCGAAGCATGGCTGAAAGGATGCGGGCCAAGCGCGCGAGCCAGGTCGCCGAAAGCCAACGGCCCCGTGGAGATGCCCCAGACGAACCGCAATGCAGATGGGCAAGCCCAGACGCGAAGAATATGAGAGACCCCCTCTAGCAACTACAGCCCAGGTTGTGCACGGTTTCCCCCGGGGCCGTAGGCCACCCGAGGGAGGAGGAGGAGGAGGAGGAGGAGGAGGAGGAGGAGAGAGGAGGAGGAGGAGGAGGAGGGAGGAGGGAGGAGGAGGAGGAGGAGGAGGAGAGGGAGGAGAGGGGGGAGGGGGAGGGGGAGGGGGAAGGAGGAGGAGGAGGAGGTGGAGGAGATGCCCCAGACAGACCACAATGCAGACGGGAAAGCCCATACGCGAAGAACACGAGAGAGACCCCCTCTAGTAACTGCAGTTAGGTCGGGCGTGTCCCCCTACAGGCGGACTTTGGCCCAAAAATTAAACAGACTCCAGACATGCTCAAAAACAGCCAAAATATGCTCGGCCAGTCGTCCCCAGACTATTTTTTGACTATCTTTGAATATTCCTCCTGTAGAGGGACGGGCCCGACTTGCAACTACAGCCCAGGTTGTTGCCAGCCCTCGTGCCAGCTGTATCCATACCCATGCCTTCGCGGTCCAGGCACCCAGGGCGCGACCCCAGGGAAACGCGATCGCACGGATATGCGCTCCGCGCGGGGGTCCGGCTAAAGCCACTCCCGCACGTATCCACAGGGTAGCAGGCCGTGCACTCGGTCCGCGAAGCCGAGGGTATGGATCAGCTTCCCGCCCACGAGAGTTGGCAGGGCCCTTCCTGAGGATGGAGGCTCGAGAGGAACCAGGTTCGGTGCCAGCATGACCTTCGGGTCTCCCGAGGCCTCCAAGGACCGTCCAGGGCAGCTCTGACAGCAGTGCTCGCCCCGGAAATACTGCGCGACGAAATACACGCGCAGTCGACGCCCGCTGAGCTGTGAGGTGTGGAAACAGGCAGCATAAGAGTTTCTGGCCTCCTTGGGGTCCCAGGGCTGTCCGAAACCATGGCGACCTATCCAAACACCCTCACCGACAATCGGACCTACACGCATCATACTTTCTCTTTGGATGTCACGATGAATCTCTAGATCGGTCTCTGGATCTCACGATGAATCTCTAGATCGCTCTCTATAGTTGTATAGGTCTCTATCGTGCCCAACATCAATATAACTAAATATCCCACTATCTACCAATCGGTCCGAGTAACTTTCTATAGACGGGACATCCGCGGGACAACCACGCGACAACAACGGCACAACCACAAGACAACCACATGCCAATCACAAGACAAGCGCGGGACAACACCGCGCAAGGCCCGGCAGCACGGGGCAGTGGGCGGGTGAGGGGGGGGGCGGAATAAAAAAAAATTCTCTCAAATGGAAATAATTTATGCAGAGAACTCGCGCAATTCGTCTCGCCTCACCCGCACGAACGTCGCGCGAAACCGACCTCGAGTTCCCGTCTGGGGGTATTCGCTTCACTTCGGCATCAGGCACCAATTTCTAATACAAGTACCCTGCGGATGATAAAGGGCTTGGGGGTGGGGTGGGGTTTGAGCTTGATGTTGCATGGTTCGCACCTCGAAATATGAAAACCAAAATCTAAGGATATAACTATCGATACATCATCCGGGCAACCGCGGGCGCGACGACTGCGCGACAAACGACGGGGCAACACTGGACAACCATCGAGACAACCACCGGGACACACATCGGGACAGCCATCGGGCCAACCATCGGGACGACCATCGGAACAGCCATCGGGGGAGAAGCGTCGGGATAACCATCGGGGAAAGCAGAAAGATAACCGTCGGGGCAACCATCGGTACAACCCTCAAGACAACCATCTGGACAACCATCGGGATAACCATTGCGGCAACCGCCAGGGCCACCTTTGGGACAATGATTAACACAATCATCGGGGCGGGGCAACCATCGGACAACCATCGGGGGACAACCTCGCGACGACTCGACCATCGGGACGACCATCAGGCCAACCATCGGGGCAACCGTCGAGACATACATCGGGATAACCATCGGGGCAACCCTCGGGAGGACCATCAGGGGATAAAAGTCAGGCTACAAATTCGGAAAAGCATCGAGATAATCGTCGGTGCGACCATCGGGAAAACCATAAGAACAACCATCGCGACAGCCATCGGGACAACAGTCGCGGTAACCACCAGGAGTACCTTCGGAACAATCATCGGCATAACCCTCGGGGCGGGGCACCAACCAGACAACCATCAGAGGACAACGTTGCGACGACTTGACCATCGAGGCAACCATAGTCATCACCCCCCTCTTGGCTGCCTCCGAAGGGAGGGCGGACACATCCTGCCCCACCTTCAGCCGCCGGCGGGCGGCGATCATGCACGGTGCCGCGAGGCACGGATTGGAATGTCCTCTGGTCCCGTCAACCTTCCGTCCTCACTCCTGGAGACCCGGTAGACGGCCTGGACTCCGAATTCCTAGGTTCGCCGGGGTGCGTCGCGTGTCCCCGCGCTTCTCCGCATTCGTTCGGCGGAGCTAAAAGGGCCCCAAGACGGGCCAAGAGGGTCCCATTCCAAGAAGGCCCCGGGTCGCCCGTGCCCGCTCGGGCGAACTCCGGGGACCCTGGAAAAGGCCTCGGCGAGGCGCAGCTGAAGGATCCCAACTCGGGGCCCTGGGATGTGCAAACCTCCATGGGCAGTCGAAATTCAGCAGGAGCCCAACAAAACATACTCACTGCGTGGAGCTCCCCATATGTGCATCTCATGTTTTATGCCATGCCATAGTGAGCGTCTGTTCATGAGCGCTTGACTATGATAACGCGTCCACGTGGGCGACAGGGCCGACGAAGACGAGTGACTCCGATTGCGAGTGAGTGAGTATGAGTCAGAGTGAGCTGTGAGTATGATTGAATATGAGCCTCCCATTCGTTCCCCCTCCTCAGCTGCCAGGCTGTGCCGTCCTCAGCCTGTGGTAATGTGCATCTGTTTTAAGATAGTTGGCAGTGGGATATGTAAAACGAGCGCTTAGCCAAGGGAGCAGCACGCCGAATGTCCTTCCTCGCACCATGGAAACAAGCAAACCGCCCGAGACATCCCCACACACTGGCCGCGAAAGGGCCCGTGCAAACACGCCTGGCGGCTCCCCTTAGGGGTGCTGAAACCAGCGCCCCGCCTGAGACATCCTCAAGAGCCTCTCTGAAAGCCGAAGATGTTGGGCATGACAACGAGCAAGCCGCCTGAGACATCCCCACAAACTGGCCGCGAACGGGCCCGTGAAAACACCCCTGGCGGCTCTCGTTATGGGTGCTGAAATCAGCGCCCCGCCTGAGACATCCTCAGATTTTTTTCTGAACATCGAGGATGTTGTGCATGAGAACAAGCAACCGCCCGAGACACCCCACAAACTGGCCGCGAACGGGCCCGTGAAAACAGCCCTGGCGGCTCCCCCTAGGGGTGCTGAAACCAGCGCCCCGCCCGAGACATCCTCAAAATCTGCTCTGCAAGCCAAGGATGTTGGGCATGAAATCTCAACCGCCCGAGGCATCCCCACAAACTGGCCGCGAACGGGCCCGTGCAAACACACCTGGCGGCTCCCCTTAGGGGTGCTGAAACCAGCGCACCGCCTGAGACATCCTCAAAATCTGCTCTGCAAGCCAAGGATGTTGGGCATGAACACGAGCAAACCGCCCGAGACATCCCCACAAACTGGCCGCGAACGGGCCCGTGCATACACCCCTGGCGGCTCCCCTTAGGGGTGCTGAAACCAGCGCCCCGCCTGAGACATCCTCTGAATCTGCAATGAAAGTCAAGGATGCTGGATATAAAAAAGAGCAAACCGCCCGAGACATCCCCACAAACTGGCCGCGAACGGGCCCATGAAAACAACCCTGGCGGCTCCCCGTAGGGGTGCTGAAACCAGCGCCCCGCCTGAGACATCTTCAAAATCTGCTCTGCAAGCCAAGGATGTTGGACATGACAACGAGCAAACTGCCCGAGACATCCCCGCAAACTGGCCGCGAACGGGCCCATGCAACACCTCTGGCGGCTCCCCTTAGGGGTGCTGAAACCAGCGCCCCGCCTGAGACATCCTCAAAATCTGCTCTGAAAGCCAAGAACGTTGGGCATGAGAACGAACAAACCGCCCGAAACATCCCCACAAACTGGCTGCGAACGGGCCCGTGCAAACACCCCTGGCGGCTCTCCTCAGGAGTGCTGAAACCAACGCCCCGCCCGAGACATCCTCAAAATCCGCTCTGAAAGCCAAGGATGTTGGGCATGAGAACGAGCAAACCGCCTGAGACATCCCCACAAACTGGCCGCGAACGGGCCCGTGAAAACACCCCTGGCGGCTCCCCTTAGGGGTGCTGAAACCAGCGCCCCGCCTGAGACATCCTCAAAATCTGCTCTGCAAGCCAAGGATGTTGGGCATGAACACGAGCAAACCGCCCGAGACATCCCCACAAACTGGCCGCGAACGGGCCCGTGCATACACCCCTGGTGGCTCCCATTAGGGGTGCTGAAACCAGCGCCCCGCCTGAGACATCCTCACAATCTGCTCTGAAAACCAAGGATGTTGGGCATGAGAACGAGCAAACCGCCTGAGACATCCCCACAAACTGGCCGCGAACGGGCCCGTGAAAACACCCCTGGCGGCGCCCCTTAGGGGTGCTGAAACCAGCGCCCCGCCTAAGACCCGCCTGAATATGAGTAAGTCTGTGTATGAATAAGTTTGTGTATATGTGCGTCTGGGTATGAGCAAGTCTGAGTATGAGTAGGTCCCAGTATGAGTAAGTCTGTGTGTGAGTAAGTCTGGACATGAGTAAGTCTCGTATGAGGAGACGAGAAGAGGAGGGGACGAGAAGAGAAAGGAGGAGGAGGAGGAGGAGGAGGAGGAGGAGGAGGAGTAGGAGGGGTCCAAGTAATCAAAAGAACCCCATCTTAGGATATGGGGAACAATCTACTTCCCTCTTATTCAGACCCCCGGCGTCGTGTCTCCCTTCCTGGGGACCGTGCGTTCGACCCGACAAGGTTAGTTGAGGGTCCCGGAGCCCCGAACAACCGTCTCCCGGGATTGAACTAGTTTCGGGGCTTCGTACACGGGGGTTTAGCTAAACGGGGGTTTGGGCTTTTCCATCAGCCCCCGTTTACTGTACCCCCGTTTACGGCGCCCAGGGCCCCCTAAACGGGGGCATAGCCAAACGTAGAACTCGGCGTTCCCCGTGCCCCCGTTTGCTGTGCCCCCGTCTCTGGCGCCCTGATATTCAGGTACGTTGGAGAGTCTGGGTACAGCTCCTCTTCCTTCCAAAAGTCGCCCCCTGGACTCCAGCACTGCGCCCTGTGCAGAAATTCGAGGCGGACCCGGCCGCAACCACGAGGAACCTCCCGCAGGACCAACTTTAAAGAGCCCCCCAAGACATCCAAACACGTCAGACCTCGATCCTCGGTCCTGGCTCCTCCTCCTCCTCCTCCTCCTCCTCCTCCTCCTCATTGAAGGGGCCAAGGGACACACAAATAAATATACACGAATCTTTAGATTCCCCATATTGTCTCATGTTTTCTGGATTTTCCTCTTCCCCCCACTTCACACATTTTCCTGGAGATTGACGATGGATTGCGTCAGTGTGTGTTTTCCCCCTCCCAACTTATCCTCCTCAAGGTCCTCGAGGCGGACCCCTCCCGGGGCCCATCCTGGCGAGCTGCTCGAGCTGCATCTAGCCGCGGCAGCGAGAAGGCTCCCAGAGGCCGCCGCAGAACCCATGGACCCCGACCCATCCATCCGTCGATCCTCTTGGACGCCCGACATGAGTACGGAAAGAATCGGCACGATGCCCAACAGCAAATGTTGCCCCGAACCAACAACGACCGCTGTTTGGCAGGCGGCCTCCTGTCTCAGATGAACACCATCCGCGGCGACGCCGGCAGCGCATCCTGCTCAGAATGAACAAGAACTGCTGTCGGTCGCTGTACCCATTCTTTCCGTACCTATGTCGGTCGTCCCGAATCCTGGAGGAGGAGGGCGGAGGAGGAGGAGGAGGAGGAGGAGGAGGAGGAGGGCGGAGGAGGAGGAGGAGGAGGAGGAGGAGGAGGAGGAGGAGGAGGAGCCTGGCCCCTCCTCGTCGTCCTCTCCCCGGCGGCCCGCGGGGCCCGCGGAGGAGCCCGCAGCAGGGCGGGGGCGCGCCCCGTACCGGCGTCGCCCGGGGCTGCCCCCGCGGTGGCGGCCGCGACCACCTGAGGAGGGCAAGCAGGGCGGGGGAGAGGTGAGGGAGAAGGAGGGAGGGAGGGAGGGAGGGAGGGAGGGAGGGGGTGAGGGCAAGCTAGGTGCGCTCGCGTCATATCTGACGTCCACCCCTCCCTCCCATCCCTTACCATAACAGGAAGCTGTCAACACACGTGGGCGAGTTCTCACGTGGAACGTCCACGGACCGCGCGCTGGATACGTGTACGAAAGCCAGGCGTGCCCAGCCATGAATGGGCCAAGCGCTGGAAAGACGCGCAAGCACAAGTGTATCCAGCACTATCAAGCTCCAAGTGCCCACGCCGATGCCAGCCACTTCATGTGTATCCAGGGTTAGGTCGGGCCTGTCCGTCTACAAGGGGGATCTTGGGCGAAAATTATAAAAAAAAAAAAAAAACCTAAATGTCCCCAAAATGTTCAAACATAGTCAAAAATAGTCCCCTGACTATTCTTTAACTATTTTTGAATATTCCCCCTGTAGAGGGACAAACCCGACTGAAATCCAGGGCCAGGGAGACCGATCTCCCAGGGCGCCAGCTGATCCACTGCCTCCCGAGGCCCTGGGAGATCGGCTCCCCAGCCGGTGGATACGTACCAGCCTCGGACCGCGGCGTACCCCTCCGTCGCTCCTCCCCTCCACGCTCTACCTGCGCACCTGCTGACCATTGAAGGGGCCCTGGGACACACACAAATAGATATACACACACATGCAAATGAGAAGATTCCAAATGTTTTCATATATTTTTCATCGTTTCCCATATTTTCTGGGGAATCGACGATCAATTGTCTCCGTGTGTTCTTTTCCCTCCTGAACCATGGCGCCCCCTGGGCCGCCGAGACGACCGCCCAGGGCGGTCACACGGGCGCCGTCCCATGGGGGACACGCGCACCCGCGCACCAACAGCGTCGAGGGGTTTGGGGGCGTGGCGGGTGGGGGGGAACGAGAGATAAGGGCTTCTGAAGACTTCCGGAAAGTTGGGTCCCCAAAGGGGGGGCAACTTTCGATGTTTCTTCTTTTTTTCTTCCTTGTTTCCCAACTTTCCAGGCCCCCGGAAAGTAATTGTTCCAACTTTCCTAAAAGCCACATTTTATTAATATAAGAAAAAGAATCCAACTTTCAGGCCTGCCCTGAAAGTTACTTCTTTTCGGCAACTTTTGGGAAATGGGGCGCCCCCCCCCCCACGCCCCCCCGAAAAGTTACTTTTTCGAGTTGGCTCCTCGGGGGGGGGGGGAAGGTGTGGGGGGGGGGGCGTTCCCCCTTTCCAGGCCCCCGAAAAGTAACTGTTTTCAACTTTTCCCCAAAACCCCTTAACAAAAAAAACAACTCCGCCCCCCCCTGAAAGTTACTTTTCGGCAACTTTCGGGCCCCGGGGCGCCCCCTCCCGAGAAGGTGATATTTATTTTTTCCGACTTTTGAGTAACTTTCGGCCTCGTCGAAAAGTAACTTTTTCAACTTCACCTGGGGCAGGGCAAACTCATTCTGGAGCCCGAACGTTACTTCTCTATTTTTGTAACTTCCCGTGGCAGTCGAAAGTAACTTTCCAGGTGGCCGACAAGTCGGTGCACGAGGCGGGCGCCGGACATTTCGTGGACGTGCGGCCTGCAAGTGGGTGTCTACGTGGGAGCCATGCTGAATCCTCTGGCGACGTCGCGAGGTCGTTTTGGAGCATGAATGGGCGCATCCTGTAGGGCATCCTCTGTTCAAAATCCCTCTCGCGCCATCTTGGGAACCTTTCGGGGGAACTGCAGCAGCACGATTCGCAAGGTAAATAAAGGAATCTTGGTGGTCTAACGAAGAATGAACGCGCACAAGACGTCTCCGAGATCACAGTTGCGAGGATGTCTCAAGCCAAAAAAGTGGCCTCGGACACAGAAGTTCCGAGGATGTTTCAGGCGAACGCGGCCGGACAACCATCGGGCAAGGTATCTCCGAGGTCAGAGTTGCGAGGATGTCTCAAGCGAAAATGGGCTGACCACCGCAGCTGAAGGCATCTTCGAAACCGGAGGTGCGAGGATGTCTCAAGCGAAAGTGGCCGGACCGCAATAGGGCAGGGCGTCCCTGAGGTCAGAGCCCGCTGCGCTTAGGAACACCTTAAGTGCAGCGGGCTGTTTTGGCCACGGGCGGCCCTCATAGGGCTCACAGGGCTCAGAGGGTTCCCGGGAGGCCCACACAAGGGAGAGCAGATCCGCCGCACATAAAACTCCCTTCCATGCAGCGGGCCATTTTGGCTCCCAGGGAGGGCAGACCCGCTACACTTAAAACCCTTTAAGCACAGCGGGCTGTTTTGGCCATGGGCGGCCCCCATAGGGCTTATAGGGCTCGTAGGGCTTAGAGGACTCACATGGCTCAGATGGTTCCTAGGAGGCCCACACAAGGGAGAGCGCAAATCCGCCGCACTTCAAACCCCCTGAAATGCAGCGGGCCCTCTTGGCTCCCGGGAGGGTCCGCGCGGGAGGGCAGACCGGCAGACCCGCTGCACTGAGGAACCCCTTACAGTCGAGGCGTTGACCTAAGGAACCCTAAATAAGGAACGAGGCCCCTATTTTCCATAAGTTGAACTTCGATTTCGTATCGAAAACCTACAGAAAATCCAAGGCAAGCTGCGAAACAATTAAGGAGCACGGAGCCCCTCCCCAACGAAAAGGGTTCCTTTTTCAGGGCCCCGACTGTAAGTGCAGCGGGCTGTTTTGGCCACGGGCGACCCTCATAGGGCTCGTAAGGCTCACAGGGCTCAGAGGGTTCCCGGAAGGCCCACAGAAGGGAGAGCAGATCCGTCGCACTTAAAACCCCCTGAAATGCAGCGGGCCTTTTTGGCTCCCGGGAGGGTCCGCGAGGGAGGGCAGACCCGCTGTATTCAGGAACCCCTTAAATGCGGCGGGCTTTTTTGGCCCCGAGTGGCCCTCGTAGGGGCTCGTCGTGATCGTCGTCGTCGTCGTCGTCGTCGTCGTTCGATCTCAATGTCGATCTCGCTAGCGATCTCTCCATCGACGGCGCCATGGGGTATGGGTGAAGTATGGATCTTACCGTCAGTCTCCCCCATCAGTGCGTGCACTGATAACTGTTGTGGGAGGGTAGGTCGTGCCGCCTCCCCTGGCCCCCCCCCACCCCCCGGGACCGGCGCAGGCCGGGTCGCGCGCCAGCGGATCAACTTTTCAATTGTTTTAACTTTTCGCAAATTTTCAGGAGACCCCGAAAGTTGCTTTTTCAGCCTTTTGTAACCTTTCGTAAACTTTCGGGGATTCGGACAAACAACTTTTCCGACTTTTTCCAACTTTCCGACAACTGTCCAATGTCCGGAAAAAATACTTTCCAACTTTCTGTGATTTGCGGAGACCAGGGAACAAAAACTCTTCCAACTCTTTCTAACTTTCCGGCAACTTCCCCGCGTGCGGAACAATTACTTTTCAACTTTTTTGACTTGCGGACACTGGTTGCGACAGACTTTCCGGACGGCGAAACGTTACTTTTCGGGAGCGTGAAAAGTTGATCCGGCATGGACGTCGCAGAGTGCTGGAGGGCCCCCTCAACTTTCCAGCTTGTCGTAACTTCTTGATAACTTTAGCATATTCGGGAAAGTCTTCAGGAGCCCCTAATTGGGGAACGACGACCATGACGACAAGGAGGAAGAGGAGGACCGAATACTTTCTGCGAGCGCTGGTAAAAAAAGACTGAAACCTCCATCTCCGAGCCTCGGAAAGCAAAACACTACGGCGTCCAGGGTCTGCAGTGGCCACCCCCGGCCAGTCGCGGCTCCTGGCCGAGACGGCAGGGCCCGTGGAGCGAGAGCGTCTGAGGAGGGAGGGAGGCTTGAGGAGGGATGGGGGAGGAAGGAAGGGGAGGGAAGAGGAGGGTAGACGAGGGGCGAGGAGGTAAGAAGAGGAAGGAAACGGAGGAGGCCGAGGAGGAGGGGGGAGGGATCATGGATCGGGCATGGATGATGGATCAGGAAGGGATCGGAGGGGAGGCGAAGGTCCTCCTTCTCCTTCTGATATCTGCTCCTCCCTCCTCTTCTTCATCTTCCTTGCCCCGTCCCTGCTCGTCCTCCTCCTCCTCCTCCTCTCCTCCTCCTCTTCCTCCTACTCCTGATTTCTCTCCATGCAATCCCTTTCAGTGGCGCCGCGCAGGCGCAAGGAGAGAGGCACTGCGCCGCCATCGGCATACTCCCGCATACTTTTTCATCCTCCTCCTCCTCATCCGCCCTCCTCACTAAATCCTCGTCCTGTGAACGTAGGGAGGAGGACTGACGCTTGCTGCTTGCTTGGCTCTCTTCCCCTGTCAGGGCAACGGCGGGGCCTCGCTGAGATATGCTTGCACCGACGTGCGATCCCTCTCTCCTCCTCCTCCTCCTTCTCCTCCTCCTCCTCCTCCTCCTCCTCCTCCTCATCATCATCACCATCAGCATCAGCATCATCAGCATCAGCAGCATCAGCATCATCATCATCATCGTCATCATGATGATGATGATGATGATCATCATCATCATCATCATCATCATCATCATCATCATCATCATCATCATCATAATCAGCAGCAGCAGCAGCATCATCATCATCATCATCATCATCATCATCATCATCATCATCATCAGCATCGTCATCATCATCATCATCATCATCGTCATCATCATCATCATCATGAGCAACAACATTATCATCATCAACAAAAACTGGGATGTTAACGCCCCCCTCGATTGCAGTTCAAGTTCGTAAATTAAAACATCCACTAAATTAACGCCGGGCCCGTAAATTCTGTAAGTTCGCGGACGCGCGCGACCGGGCGTCTGATTTTTGAACCTGCGCAGCTTTTTTGACAGAGAATTGACGACTTGTGCAGCTTTGATGGTGGGGAACCGTCGGGTCGCGCATTTTTTTTCGTTCTGTCGGGCTGGGCTCGGTTTTCCAACTTGTGCAACTTTGTTGACCAAGAATTGACGACCTGTGCAGCTTTTGAGATGGGGAACCGACGAATTGTGCAATTTGTTTCGTTTTGTCGGGCCGGGCTCGGTATGCGAACTTGTGCAGCTTTTTTTGAAAGAGAATTGACGACTTGTGCAGTTGTTTTGATTGGGACCCGACGGGTTGTGCAACCTTTTTCGTTTTGTTGGGCCGGGCTCGGTTTTCGAACTTGTGCAGATTTTTTGACAGAGAATTGACGACTTGTGCAACTTCTTTGATGAGGAATCGACGACTTGTGCAACCTTTTTTCGCTTTGTCGGGCCAGGATCGGTTTTCGAACTTGTGCAGCTTCTCTGAAAGAGAATTGACGACTTGTGCAACTTTTTGATTGGGCACCGACGGTCTGTGCATCCTTTTTCGTTTTGTCGGGCCGGGCTCAGATTTCGAAGTTGTGCAGCTTTTCTGAAAGAGAATTGACGACTTGTGCAGCTTCTTCGATTGGGAACCGACGGTATGTGCAACCTTTTTCGTTTTGCCGGGCCGGGCTCGGATTTCGAAGTTGTGCAGCTTTTTTGGTAGAGAATTGACGACTTGTGCAGCTTTTTAGAGTGGGAACCGACGGGTTGTGTAACCTTTTTCGTTTTGTCGGGCCGGGCTCGGTTTTCGAACTCGTGCAGCTTTCTTGACAGAGAATTGACAACTTGTGCAGCTTTTTTGATGAGGAACCGACGGGTCGTGCAACCCTTTTTGTTTTGTCGGGCTGGGCTCGATTTCGAAGTTGTGCAGCTTTTTTGGAAGTGAACTGACGCCATGTGCAGCTTTTTTGATTGGGAACCGACGGTTGGTGTAACCTTTTTCCGCTCTGTCGGGCCTAGCTCGGTTTCCGAGTTCGGTTTCCGAGCTCGGGCCCGACAAAACGAAACAAAAAAAACGGCTGAAATCATCAATTCTCTTTCAAATAAACTGCCCAACCGGCCCGGCCCGACTACATCAAAAAGAGTGCACAACCCGTCGGTTCCGAATCGAAAAAGCTACACAAGTCGTCAATTCTCTTTCAAAAAATGACACAACTTCGAAAACCGAACCCGGCCCGACAAAACGGAAAAGGTTGCACATTTCGTCGGTTCCCCATCGAGAAAGCTGCACAAGTCGCCAATTCTCTTTCCAAAAAGTTGCACAACTTCGAAAACCGAGCCCGACCCGACAAAACGGAAAAGGTTGCACAACCTGTCGGTTCCCAATCAAACAAGCTGCACAAATCGTCAATTCTCTTTCAAAAAACTTGCAGAAATTCGAAAACCGAGACCGACCCGACAAAACGGAAAAGGTTGTACATCCCGTCGGTTCCCCATGAAAAAAGTTGCACAAGTCGTCAACTCTCTCTGACAAAAAGTTGCACAACTTCGAAAACCGAGCCCGGGCTGACAAAACGAACAACGTTGCACAACTCGTCGGTTCCCAATCAAAAAGCTGCACAAGTCGTCAATTCTCTTTCAAAATAACTGCACAACTTCGAAAACCGAGCCGGGCCCGACAAATCAAAAACGAAAAAGGTTGCACACCTTGTCGGTTCCCAATTCAAAAACTGTTCAAGTCGTCAATTCTCTTCCAGAAAGCCCGACGAAGCAGAAACGGTTGCGCAGCTCGTCGGTTCCCAATCAGAAAGGCTGCGCAGGTCGTCAATTCTCATCCGAAAAAGTTGCACAAGTTCGAGAACCGAGCGCAGCCCGACAAAACAAAACAACAAAAAAAACGCGTGGTTTCGAAACTACCCGCCATTTCATCTGATTTCATATACGATCAACGGTTGATCTCATTGGCATGCATAAGTTCTTACTTCTGCCGTCTGGATCGTAAGTCTAAGTTCATAAATTTAGAACTTATTGTTAACATCCCAGAAAAATCATCATCACCATTATCCCTCCCCCTCTCTGCCTTTCCTCCCTCCTCCGCAGACCTCCTGCGTCCTGATTCTGTGCGCAACGGGGACCCCGACCTGGCCAAACCCCCCAAAAGGCCGCAAACAGCCAAACATCTCGACTTCTAGGCCATATCTCAAGCCTCGGGCGGCCGCGCGGGACGAGACGAGTGCGGACCAGTGTTGTCCCGCAGGGACGAGCGCAGTAGTAGGGGGAGAGAGGAGGAGGAGGAGGAGGCGGAGGAGGAGGAGGAGCGCCGGTACCAGGACGGATTCGATGTCTCACGATACTCAACGCCGAGCTACTGTTTTCGGCGACCTGTACGGCCGAGCAGCTTAGGCGGAGGAAGCCACAAGTATTAGTTGTCGTCTGGCCTGTACAACTTTCACCACACCACGCTGTTGCGGGAACTTCAGGGCGCACCATCTCGCTCGGCGGCCACTTCCTCAGCTGTGTGGTATGTATGAAGGTAAAGGTGGTGGCCAGGATTGCACTTTCACGCGGGAGGCCATAAGGCAGGACACTGGGCAGAGAGGCCGAGTCCGAAGCGGAGGATGGGGCAAGGATGTACGACGGCTCGAGGACGACAGACGAGGTGGGTGAGTGCGGGGTGATCGCATTCAAACGTACAATTCCATATTGTATTCGGTCGGTGCTGGTCCAACCTCAGCACAATGATTTTGAAGTACGGCCATCGCACGGACGGAGGGGCCCAAATCAGGATGTCCAACACTAGGCCCCATCACTCTCGCAGCCTACTGGGGGTGGGGCAATATAGCCACGACCGCAGGCGACGCCCAATTAGAAGCTCGAGGGGATCAGGCTTGGCGTTTGGGGCCCACGACCCTCCAGGACGGCCTCCCCCACTGCACCGCTGGCCCGCTGCTAGGCAAGTCGGAGCTGCCAGGATGCAATAGGAGGGTTTGGCACCGACCCAGCGCACGCAAGCTCGTAATACTACTGCACGGTGGCCTACTTACGGGCCCAACGCAGTGCGCACCACGCACCACAGCTGAGGTTAACGAGACCCGGGAACTCTTGAGCAGCGGCCTCGAAAAGCCGATAAAGCGGTCCCCAGATCGTGTCTAGCGTGATGGACGCGCACCCCCATGCGCACGCCGTGGCATTCGTCAGGAGAGAAGTCGGGGCGGGGGATGGCGGCCACAAGGCCATGGAGAGCCACCTGGAGCGAGAACAAGAACTCGGGGGAACGTGCAAAGCATGATGGAGACCCCACAGCCCTCCATGGCCCCAACAATCTGGAAACATCGCCCCACATATTAGCAAGCAGGCGGGAACCGCAGAACTGTGAGGCCACATCGACAAACGACTGCAGTTGTCCAAACTCCGTGCATCTAAACACTCCATTTAAGAGCGGTGGCCAACCATTCGTCAACACGAGTGGCTGCAGGGCCGCACCAAATCCCGCGATACTTGGCCGTCCCACAAGTTCAAATTACACCAAAGAAAAATCCCAATCAATGGATGGTTTGATCGATAAGAAGATCGACCAGGAACACGGGAAACAGGAACCCACCGAAATCGGCCCGGAACCAAAAACCAAGAACCAGGGAAACCCGAATCGGGAAAACAGGAACCCAACCGGCCACCAAAATCGGCGAGAAATTTTCGCCAACTCTTTCAACTTCCGCTATAGCCTCCAGTGCAAGCACTGACTGGGGAAAACTGCCCAGCTGGGAGCCCACAGTCGCGGCTGCGCGTGGAACAACTCAACGATGTCGGGAGTCCAGTAGGTTCATGCGGCGTCGGCGTGCGTACAAATTTTTTGACACCTCGTCGATTGTTCAACCTTGAACCGATCGCGGCCCCGATCGTTCAAAACTGAATTCCGTCGAGTCCTGTAGCGCTACCGTGCCCCTCGGTGCTTCCGCGTTGTTCTGTCGTGCGGAGTTCAACCTTGAACGCCTTCGCTGGCGTCGCCGGCGCGCCATCGCCGAACGAACCTGCCGCAAGGGAGGTGCAGAGGGGGACGAGCACGCACCTCTGTCGGCTGCAGACGGCGGCAGGCTGGCTGCCGCAGCTGCAGGGGTGAGGCTCCAGGGCTCGCGCGCGCTCGAGCCTGCGGAGCACCGTGTCGATATCGTCCGCGCGTGCGCCGAGCGTCCCATGCACAGGAAGGCCCCAGCTATACACCAACACCGATCCTGGCCAGGATCATCCTGGGTCCAGCATCGGTGCACACGCCCTCCTGCCATGGGCAGAACGCATATACACCGATCCTGGGCCTAGGATCGGCCTGGCCAGGATCGGTGTAGGTGTATAGTTGGTGGCCTCCGAATGCAGGTCCCTGGTGGGCTCAACACCGTTGTTTACCGCAGGGGGGGCAGGACTTGTCCGCGCCCCAATGTCCTCTGGGCAAGAGCTGCGCTGCACGCGGCCGCCGGGCCGAAAGCTGGGCGGTGATTCGCCGCGCAGCCTGGGCCAGCAGGGAGGGGGGGTGGGGAGGAGGAGGGGGAGGAGGCGGAGGAAAAGGAAGAGGAGGAGGAGGAGGCGGAGGAGGAGGAGGAGGAGAAGCAGGAGGAGGAGGAGGAGGAGGAGGAGGAGGAGGAGGAGGCGGAAGGGCGGAGAAGAGGAATATGAGCGAGGAGGGGAGAGGAGCCCAGCGCGGGCGCGGGCGGCGCCCTCCTCTGGGCGCAGCTCTGGCTCGCCCGCCGCCCGCGCCACCGCCGCCCACGCCAGCTGCTGCAAGCCGTCCAGGGCCAGCCAGGCCTCCTGCGCGGCGGGCTGGGGGCAGGGCGAGGGCGCAAGCATATGTGAGGACGTGCAGCCATGACTTGTGCCACGCGTGCAGGCAGGAGCTAGTCAGAGCAGGGCAGCAGTTGTCGCGAACGGGTGCTGAGGCATGGAACGACATGGAATGCGCGCATGGCCAGTTCAAAACAAAACCCCTCAACTCCGATGGATGGACAAGATGCCTGAGCGAACTCAAACGGAAACAAGCCAGAGGCAGCTTCGCTCAATGAAGGTCGACCGCCAGCTCACACCACGCGCAACCACGCACAACACGTGTGCGTGCAAGCCGGAGCTAGCAGGTGTAGGCGGCGTGTAAGAATGTGGACGACTGTGGGGGGCGGAGGAAGGATTACATTTTTCTGCAAGGATAACTCAAAGATGTCTCAATATGTGTGACTACAGTTCACGGTCGTGCAAAACCTATACACTTACCTGCACATGTGGCAACGCGGCCGACAGCAAGAGGGTGCGTATGTCCCTTCCGCTTGGCGGCCTTCCTGGCTGCGCGGTGAGCGAGATCGAGTTATTCGACTCTCCGGGCGGGCAGCAGCGGAGCAGCGACTTGCGCGAGCTGGTCCCAGCTCTTCGTCTTTCGCGAGTCTGGAACATGAGCATTGCATCTCAGTCGCCGTTAAAAGCCATGTCACAAATTTGACATATAGCCGATCCGTCGGCATGAAGACGAGCCTGGCGTTGCAAGTTATGTTTTTGTTCCTCCGGCGCATTGTCCAAGCACGCTAGTGACGGGTGCGGGGCGGGCAGGATACGCGCTGCGCGCGTGCGGCTTGCACGGGGTAGTCCGCGCGCTTAAGATTAGGCTGCGCATCGCATGCAGACGTTAAGAATCAAAAATGCTCTGTGCCATCTCTCTCCGCAGCGTCGGCTCGTTCCTGCGCAAACTCATGCCGTATCTAAGTGTGCACAAAAGGATCTGGCAAGCGGGCGAAGGCGGGGGCGCGCCTCCACGCGCGCTGAAGATCAACTCGAATCTGCTCTACCCAATCCAGGACCTCCCCCTGGATGCGAAACTGCAGGACAGTCTGCAGCGGCCCCGATGCCAATTGCACCAGGCGGGCGAAGCAGAGGAGGCGCCTGCGGAGGAGGCGGGTCGAGGGAAGGGCGACGGAGCCTCTCTCGAACCTGGGGGTCGCCATGCTTCGCCTCGCCGAAAATCGGGTCGCCTACCACGCGACGCAGATTGCGAGCGCGGGGGGAATTCAGCGCGCGCGCGCGCACTAAGGCGCGCAACGCATGATGTGATTTTAAGCAACAGCCGGCCAAGGATCAGCAGAGAGCCATCGGGGGCGAGACGGAGGAGACTCATGCAATGCCCCGCCGCTCTCTTCAGACGGCCGTCAGGGGTCGAGGCGCAACCTAGATGCATAGACTCATCAACTGCAGGCAACGTAATGTCCATTTATATATATATAAAAAGTGAAACGCCGCTCTGTGCCACGCACGAGCTTAGCGTAGCGCGCGGTGCTCGCCCTGCCTCTGCGCGCAACCACGCGCTCAGATGTTCCGGTCTTCCAGTTAATTCCACGAACAGAACTGACAAATATTCTGACATCCGCTCCCATCAGGGCACGAATGGCGACGTTGAAGCGAGCGGGGGGGAGGGGGGGGGGCGAGGCGAGCAGTGCCGCCCATCATATACAAGCACAGCGCCGATGACGTTATCATCGGTCCGAACAGTGCAGTGCTATATGCGCCGTTCAACATGACCACCCCAAGCGCTCGCCGCTTTCGTCCTCCTGCGAACGTCAGTGCAACCCAAGGGAGATCAGCATGCGTAAACCACGCCATTCGGTGTAGCCTTGCAATCAGCGCGACTGCGTTGGAATCTACTTGCCCTGCTGAAAAGCCGAAGCGTACATGCCGAGATATGCTGCGCTCGCGCGCAGTCTCGCGCGAACGGCCGAGGGGTCGGAGGTAGGGGAAGGGGGTCCTGCAAATGTTGGTTCATCAGTCATGCCATGCAAGAACTCCGTAACTACTCCATGAAACGCTTTGGCGAGATTGAGAAATAGCCCAAATGCGCATGCACCCTGGAGTTTGACCATGCTGGTTAATCTGAGGAAGAGGCGAAATCTGATCCACGTTTCGCAGTTGTTCCGCGCTGGATACTGGGCTGGGGCGAAGCATAAGTACTATCTCGCACGACACGCAACTGATACTATACTCCTTTCGCATCGCGATGTGCCAGCAGGATGCCGTGGAACTCATCGAAGTAGTCTGATCACACTTGATATGAACAGTTATGTATGTACATGCATACATGTATATATGTAAATAGTGTATGAATGTACATGTTTGTATGCATTTGTATACAATACGTACATATATACATGCATACGCAGACACGTCCACCGCAAGCCCAAGAGGAGGGCCACCTCTCTTGCTCAACACTTTCCACGCGCAGCTCCAACAATTCCACGGCTAAGAAATCGACGACCGCCCGACAGCCTCACCAACGATTCCATCATAGCCCACGCATTAAATGCTCTTCAACAGCACGGAGGCACTGCGAGCAGCGGTGGGGGAGATATCAAGCTGACTGGGACGTCTACAGAGGTGGACGCGAGGAGGGACATCGGCAGGCAGAGCCTCAGGGAACACAGTCTCCCCCTTGAGCATTGTTGCAAAGTGGCCTCTCATTAGCAAGTCTCTCCCACGGCGGGTGCGCGTGGGCTCGCCGTCGGGGCCTTTCAACGCCGCTGCAGCCAGCATCCACTCGCCCCGCAAGCGCTCACGATGGCGTGCGCCGTGCGCGAGTCCCCCTTCACGCGGGCCCACTGGGCCTCCAGCGCTTTGGAGCCGATCCAGATCAGGCGGTCGGCCTTGACCAGTGGGCGCGAGATGGCGCCCGCGCCGCGGGCAGCGCGATGACGCCTGACGGAGGTGCGCCGAACGGCAGCCAGCGCGCCAGCTGCCTCCGCGCTGGCCGCTCGGGCGCGCCAGCCTCGCAAACCACCGCCGTCTGCGTGGTCGCCTGCGCCGCGGCCGCGGCCGTGCGGCACGAAAATGGCAGGCAATGCTCAAGCGAGGGCGTACCAGGCCTTCTGCAGCAGGGCGGCTCGTTCCATCTCTTAACCTGTGTGACGAACCCGTACCAGTGGAGCAACCACGTGGGCCGCCCCCCACGAATCTGTAGAGATCCATGACTTCCGGGGCATCCTCGGAGGGCCACAGACTGCACAAGCATGACACAATATCCAGTCGTTGAGTTCATCAACGAGCTGACCAGACCACTCTTCTTGTGAACCGAACTGCCACATTCTGTTCTGAAGCCTCCCAGCTGGGCAAGAGTCAGTCAGCTTGGACGTGCCAAGAAATATCTTTGACTTGCTCAATTTCTCAAGTTTGACACCGTCGGCCAAGGCCAAATCCACAACAACAGGTCGGTGATCGACAAAGCCATGCACATTGATATCGGCGTTTCCATCCGCATAAGCATGTTCAAACAGGTGCCGCTGCCCACTGTCGATACAAACGTCGTCAATACGAGCTGTCGTTCTGTAGCTTAATATCCATGCCCATGTGGTCGGGAACTGGGTATTGGCAGCGAACGTATCCATATTGTTCAGGCATGCCTGAAAACGGGCTCCATTGTTGCTCTCGGCGTCTTTGTCTGCTGACCCCAAAGCGCTTGACTTTAAACTGCGGACTCTCACGTTAGCGTCGATCAGCGGCAGCATGGTGTAGGATGGAAGCTTGCGAAAGTACACGTCTAGGTGCCGCTCGACCTGCATCCAGAACTCGTACTTCGCTAGTTTGCTTGAGTACTCATGGGGAGCATGCGCAGAGCAGACCACGAGCACTGCGCCTGCGCCACTCCGACCACCGTAGTCATCCTCGCACACGGCTGCACGAAGACATCTGCCGAAAACTGCATCAAAATTGAAACCCATACTTGAGAACCACAGCGCGACTCAGGGCACGCACCCGCGAACATCTCGCGGTAGTTACCCACAAAGTGGTGTTCGGTGGTGCTCCTCCCCTCCTGAATGCCCACAATACCACACCAGGCATCATGCAACAATCTTTGGAAACGCTCAGTCTTGCTCTCGAGTGGCGTAAGTGCGTTGCGGTTGTGGCTAGCCCCATCCTGCCACGGGAATAGCGTGCGAACACGCGCAGCGACAGCTCGGATTCTGGAAGAGCCCAGGCCCCGCTCGTCCTTCGCGGGGCCCGCTCGCCCTGCGGCCGGCGCCCCGCTCGCGGCGAGACGTGCTGGTCCACGTGGTGCTGATCGTTTTGTTGGCTGCGACGAGTGTCGGATGTCCCGTTGGCGCTTCCAAAAGACCTTCGCTGACCATCCTGCGCTCTTTGGCTGCGCTGTCCTGGCCAGGTTTCTCTGGAGCGTCGTAAGTCAATATGAGGGATGCCCCCTCCCTTTGATCCCTCCCCCGTCGGGGGGGGGAGGGAAAGGGCCCCGGAAAAAGTCTTATGGAGGGGTCCCGGGTGGGGTCGCCACCCAGATACGCCTCCCTACTGGGGGGGTCCGGCTCCCAAGAACGCCCCAGGACGGGCCAAGAGGCTAAGAGTGCCCGAAGAGGCCCCCAAGACGGTCCAATATGGTCTCGCTCGCATCGCCGGACGATCTGTCCAAGACGCCTTCACGGCCTCCTGAAGGCCTATGAGGTTTGCAAAACACCCGAAGAGGCCTCCCACTCCCAAGAATGCCCCAAGAGGCAAAATCCCACCAGCCCTTTAGGGCGTAGGTGGTCTAGCGGGTTTCGTCTTTCATCTGCCCCTCTTCCCCTTCGGGGAAGGGTTTATCACTGTTCCCTATTAATAAACACCCCCTCCCCCAGGCGACTGGGGGCCAACCCGATTCCATGACGACCCCCCCCCACCATCCCTTGTAAAAAACAATACAAAACGCATTCTGCCTCCAAATTCGGAACATGCGCAGCCAACCCGATGCGGCCCCCCCCGCCATCCCTGTCAAAAAACAATACAGAGTACACTTGGCG